AATCCACATCTCAACGAGGGGCACATTCCTGCATGGAGCTGGCAGGTGCCTGCCACTGCACCAGGACTGGCAGTAAGAATGGCACAAGCAAGTCAACCACCTTTAATTTAATTTAATTAAGGCCATTGCCTTAATTATGGGCATTAATGCACAAACCGTATGGCACAAGCTCTAGGTTAAGTGCCTTTGTGTATAGCAAGGTTAAATTTCATCTTAATTTTTTTTATATTAATGTTTTGCATTCTGCAATCCGGTGCCTCATACTAATTCTAGTCCTAAACAAGAAAAGCTGGGCTTTTAAAATCAGGTCTGATTAACTGGAAACAACCAACAACCAGTTCTAGACACCAGTTGACTCCAATGTGAGCACAAGCTCCAAGTGTGGCTCAGATGATCTGAGGGGATTTAGGAGAGAAACAGCCACGTACCACCGAGACCACTGGGAAGTACCAAATCCCAGGTACAACAAATCCCCTGTTTTGGCCACAAACAGCTGCCAAAACAAGCAAGGGATTGGAGAAATGATCAAGTGGGAAGGGATGAGAGGTGTGTGCCTTGTTTGCTCCCACGGAGTGAGAGCTGGAGAGGGATGTGATTGCTGGCTGTGGAGGTATCAGTGACAACACATCAAGGCAGAGAAGCTGAACAACCGTCAGAACGAGGACATGTGGATGAAAAACAGCCCTGAGGTTGGAAATCAGGAGGTGATTGCTACCATGGGATGATGTCCCAATCAGAGCAAAGGGGAAAAAGTCAAATACGGTCTGATGGAGCTTAAAAACTGCCCAGGAATGTGCAAAGCTCAGCTTGGTGGCACTGGCCGGGGCTTCCCCACAGGCACAGCCCTTCCACCACCACTTTGGGACTAGAAGTGTTGCTTTTAAGCATAACCTTTTAGCCTTGGTGATGCACAAAATGTGCTAGGTCACCTCCTGGCACGGGGAACCGGAGCTGTGGAGCAGCTGGGAAAAGAAAATCAGCGAGATCGAAGGGAGAAATAAATTTCCAAATGCCTTTGGAAGCCTTTGTGGAACAGCAATCCAATTTCCATGGAACACTGAAGGCCTGACCCAGACGTGTGAGCAGGTAACTCTGGCAAGAGTCCTCAGCAGGGTGGGTGGGAGCAGGAATAAATTTAGCTGGGTTTGCTTTGGAGATCAGACTGTGCTCATAACACTGTGCTTAGAGGATGCTCTAGAAAAGATTCCAAACACCCCCGTGTTTCTGAATTCCCTGAAACACTGAATAGAAGCAATTGTCTGAAGGAAGAGTTCTCTCAGATTTCAAACACAAAAAGATAATGAGCAACTTGAGTTAAAAGCAGCTATTTCGAGACAAGACAACTTTGGTTTCATGGTTATTTACCTGATACAGCAGGTCCTGATGACTTTCTGCAGCAGATGGTTTAAAAGAAACCTTGCTTTATAACTTTTATTTTTCTGAGAAATGTAAACTTTGAGCTGTTTTACTTATTCTTTGGTTCCAGAAACGAGCAGGAGAGAACATGAACTTCTGACCAGGAATTGTGCCTTTACCTGGGCTTGGTTTTATTGGAGAATGAAGCTGAAATAAACTTCTTTGAGAGTTAAGATTTAGAAGTTAGGAGGCCCCTAACTCATGCATATTTTCGAGGAGAAATCTCATTTCTTCTTTTAAGAATCATTACAAAAGCCCACAAACAACACCATGGGCCTGATAGTAAAGGGCAGATAATCAGTGACAGCTCTGTAACACACGTTATTAATCCTGCTTGGGGAACATCCTGAGATTAGCTGGATGGTGCCCCAACAGCTGGATTCAGGGATGAGACACAGGGATAAATCTGCCTTCCCTGTAAGTGGGAACAGGAGGGCTGAAGGATGGGAATGGTCCCTCCTTGGCCTGGCCCAGCTCATGCTGAGAAGTCTCCTGGCTCTGACCAGCCTGTGGAACATTTGCTCTTCTGAAAGCATTTGACACATCTGAGATGTTCATCTCCTACCAGTTTTCAGATCAAAATCAGGAAGCCATTACCCTTTGCTTTCATTTAGTAAGTAACTGCACTCGCTTTGCTGCAGGTCCAATGATCCTCCTGATACACTTCATTCCCTCTTGATCCATTATTTTATTGGATACTTAAGTCATCCTTATCAGGCAGTTAATAAGAGGATCGTTGTCGATAATTAATGGCAACATCTTCCCCTGAAAACTAATTAATAGAAATGCAGCATCCATGTCCTTTGGAATGTGGCTCTGTTGGAATATCTTGCTAATGAAGCCTTGGACACTTCCAGGGATCCAGGGGCAGCCACAGCTTCTCTGGGCAACCTTTGCCAGGGCCTCCCCACCCTCCCAGCCAGGAATTCCTTCCCAGTATCCCATCTAATCCTACCATCTTTTAGTTTAAAGCCATTCCCTCCTGTCCTACCATTCCATGATTCCATGGAGGACGAGCGTGCAGGCGCAGCAGAGGGAGCTCAGTTCGGGGGACAGACGCGATAACATCTTGTCGTACACACGCCGTAATTAATTTTAATTTACTTAATTAACAATTCAGTCCTTGGGGAAGGAAAATGAAAAAGTTTCTTCATAAAGTGACAATGGGTGATTGTTCTCGGCTTCTTATCCTGGAGGCACTGGGGATAATGAGAGCTGGGGAAATACTTGGATAGATTGATTATATGGAAGGGAGGGGAGTCCTCCGGCACAGGGCACCTCCTCCCCCTTCCCATCTTCCCAAGGAATTCAACTTGGGGTCAACACACGGAAAAGTAAAAGTTCTCCTCAAAATCCCATTTCCATTTGAAGACTCACGGTGTGAGAAGTCGGGTACGGATTTAACCTCTGCCAGAAATAATCATCCCTTCGCCAAACTCTCAATCAACAGACAACAGAAGCCGGGGAAATGATGCTATTAAGATCTGAAGGTGGAAATTCCCAATCCTTTTCCCTGGCACACATAAAAATAAAACGATATAAAAGAACTCCGGCAGATGCAGCGTCATATGGAGTCGCTTAATGGCAACGCTCAGCCTTCCAAAAGGAGATTTACATCCACAGTCGCTCCTAAAGCTTGACGTTTGCGTGGAATAATTCAGAATTTGCTGCTTGCTGGGCTTTGTTGCCTTTCTTACACCCCTCAGTGGTGTTAGTTCTGCTCTTAGCAAAGCCCATCCCTTCTGACACATGCAGACAGTTTGTTGTTACTCCGCAAAGCTCGGTTCTGTGTTTCGCTAAACCCAGCTTAAAACTGCCCCCTCGAGGACTCTTTGCCTGTCACAGATTTAATTTGCACCATTACTGGGCTTCAGCCTAATTCCCCCACAACTATTCCAAGTATTTTAACAAGGATCACATGTTGGACATGTGTTTCCATGCCTACGTGTGTCCCACTTCAGGACAAACTCATTCCACCTCACTCCTTGTACGGATGCAAACGAGGTGCTGGCAGGACATTCCTGTCCTGCAGATAAAAGGTATTGGAAGCTACATCTGGATCCAGCAGCTGCCCAAAAACTGGTCCCAGTGGGTGCTAAAGCAGGACTTCATAAGCAGTTTTATAAAAGTTATTGTCCTATTTTATTTTAATTTTATTTATTTTAGGGTTGCAAATACCAAACTTGTACTTCCATAAATGTCCTAAGTTTGTTCTCATTTTTAAAAAGTATTTTAAAAAAATTGTTGTACTTATTTGGTTGATTTCTAACACTTTATTCTATTTTTTTTTCATTCTGTCATAACCAAGTTGTTCATGACAAAGGTTTAGGCAGTACCAGGTTTTCCCTGGCACTTACTGTGACACCTTGGGAAGCAGCTGCTGCCTGTGTGGGCCTGTGGGCTCTGCTCCATCTCCCACTTTCCTCTGAGAAAAATCTCAGAGAGGTTTCTTTATTAAATCCCAGACTGGGTTGGGTTGGAAGGGACTTTAAAGCTCATCCCATTCCACCTCCTGCCATGGGCAGGGACACCTTCCACCAGCCCAGGTTGCTCCAAGCCCCGTCCAACCTGGCCTTGGACACTTCCAGGGATCCAGGGGCAGCCACAGCTTCTCTGGGCAACCTTTGCCAGGGCCTCCCCACCCTCCCAGCCAGGAATCCCTTCCCAACATCCCACCTGTGATCTCCTATTTGTTATTTTGGTTGATGAAACTCTTAAGGTGGATGAGACCAAGTGTGGGAACTGCAGATTCTCCTTTTGGTCACAATCAAACAAATGAAAGACAGGATGGGATAGGATGGGATTGGGTAGGATAGGACAGGACAGGACGGGACAGGACAGGATAGGATAGGACAGGATATAGGATAGGATGGGATAGGATATAGGATAGGACAGGATAGGATAGGACAGGATATAGGATAGGATAGGATAGGATAGAGAAGAGAGGATATAGGACAGGATAGGATAGGATAGGATAGGATAGGATAGGATAGGATAGGATAGGATAGGATAGGATAGAGGAAAGGATAGGATAGGATATAGGACAGGATAGGATAGGATATAGGACAGGATAGGACAGGATATAGGACAGGAGAGGATAGGATAGGATAAGAAAAAAGTTTCCCCTGATTTTTCAGGGGTGAATCTTCCCTTTTTCCTCAGCAGCAGAGAGCTCAATCCCACAACTGAGAAAGATAATGACAAACCCCAATAATTTTTGTGTTATTTTTATGACATTTTCTGTCCCTGGAGAAAAATCAGCGAGAGGAGCAAGAAATGATTTTCCTGGAACTGCAAACGAGCGGTGTTTCTATCAGGAGTTTGGAATTGCTTCTCTTTGAAAGAGGCTTGAAATGATTGTGATTTGATGAGATGGGAACTTGTGAAGTAGGATTAAGAACATGTCCATCCCATAAACCTGTTTTCTGTCTGAAAAGTTGGGTCCTCACAGCAAACTCTGCAAGACCCCCGTGCACGTTCTGCGGGTACGTGCGAAGCAGAACCCAGCTGAGCAGGAACTGGGTGTATTTTTGAACCCAAAGTGTTTATTCTTCCCTATTTATTCCATTTGTTCTTCCATTTAGGGAATTATTGGTGCCCAAAGGACTCACCTGCAGCATGGACCTGGATGTGGATGTGGCTGGAAAAGCCTTTGTTCCCCATCCCACTCTGTACCTGGTTTAGCTCCGTTCCCAGCCGGGCCCAACCCACGGCTCAGCCCTGGATCATTCCCTCATCGGGATCCATTCCTGCCTGGAATTCTGAAACACCAGTGACAGTGGTTCTCTAGGACTTGTGTCAACCTGTGCCAGTGCTTTCCTGGGATTTGGACACAGGAATATGTGAGGATGCTCTTCCTTCTCCACCCCGCTTCGTCCCATGTAAGTACATCAAACCCCTTCCCATCTCCCAGACCTTTTCCAAAATAGGCATTTCCAGAAAGAACTATTCTAAATATATATATATATATATAATTTGTTTCCTGTTCTAAATCCTAACCCCTCACCTTCTGTTGGGATGACAATTCCAAACACTTCTCCTGACAGATGGAATCTTTCGCAGGGGATATTTCGAATCAAATCTTCCATTTTAAAGTTTGGGGTTTTTTTTTTTCCTTTTTTTTTTTTTTTTTTAAAGCAACAACAAAAATTGCTTTCAAGTGTTGGCAGCCAAGGGATCAATTGTAAAACCTGGCACAGAGAAATGAGCCGTGGGGGTCCAATTTCTCACTGCTGGGCTTTCAAACACAAATATAAGGGATCACCAGTCCAGGTTAAACCGGAGGTGGCCGGTGGGAATTTCTGGGGAGCACAAGGATAACCAGAGACACCAGGAGCGGGGCAGGAGTGCTTGGTGGGCTGGTCTGGGGTGTCCATGGAAACCACTCAGCTCGTGAGATGAGAAATTTATTTTTGGGTAGGACTCTTTTAAAGCCTCAAAGTGTTTCTGCAGCACGGATTTGCCCCTGGAGTGAACCGAGGGGGAATTCCTCGCAGGGAATATTGAACTGAACGACCTGTCGGTGTGTTTGGGGTTCCTGGAAATCCTGGGGATTTTGGGGGGATGCTGAAATGCGGATGTTGAGCTCAGCCTGGTGGGAACAGCGGAGTGAGGGGTGGGATGGGGGGCGTTTTGGGTGTTCCTGGGATGTGCCGTGTGAGCTGGGATGAGCTCCCACAGCCACCGGCTCCCTCGACTTACCCGTCGGACGCCGCCGCCGCCGCCAGGACCTCCATGGCAATGCCCAGCTATGGGATTTGCAGTGTCAGCTGTGCATTCTCTCGGCCTTCACGCCCCTAAATGGCCCTCAGCACTGCTGGTTGCTATTTAACCTGGCAGAGGTGCCCTGTTTAAGGCCGGGCATCCCACGGTGGCACCGTGCACAGCCATCGGAACACGGAGTCCCTGCCCCGAAGAGAACAGCACAGGAACTGTTTTTTCTGGTGATTTAATCATAATATTGACAACTTTATCAAAAAATTACAAAACTGATATTAAAAAAATCCTCTAATTCTTAGTAAGACTAGAATGGGTTTGTTTTTTTTTTTTTTTTTTTTTTTTTTTTTCTTTTTAAAAATAGAAAAGCACTTTTTATGCTACGGCTCTTCTGGAATTCTCACATTACAACCCTACATAGCAAAATACAAATTGTAGCTAAGAAAGGTACCAGTCCTAAGGTAATTCAGTCCACCACGAGCCCTCTAATATCTCTAGACCATCAAACTCAGGGACTCCAAAAGGATATCACATCACTTAGAAACCTTCTGCAAAGCTGATTGAGGAAAGACCTTTAAATTTTAAGTTCCTTTTAACCCCTAAGACCTTAGACTGTGAGGAAAACAGACCTGGGACATCAGAGGTGGGGTGGGTTTGGGTTTTTTGCTTTTTTTTTTTTCTTTAATTTTCCAACTACGTGAATTTTAGTTTTGCAGCTGACACCAGCCAAAGGTTTTCTGTCAGAACACGAAGAAAATCCATTGGGATAAATGAAAAGATTTTCGTTGTTGTTCCGTTTATGGTGTTCACAAAACGCACCATAACAGAAAGAGGAATCATTTCCTTTAATTGGAACGTCATCTGAATGACTCAACCACATTGTCACCCACTCAGCAAAAAGAAAGCATAATAAATAAATAAATAAATAGACAAGAATACGTAACACTTTTACATCCTCAAGGAATCACGTCGTTCCCTAAAATCTACCGAGGTCCTGATCGACGCCGTGGGCTCGCTGTACTCAGCCACTTCACTTTGGGGTGATTGTGCCATATTAATGACAAATAAAGTGGTGTTCCACTTGCCACAATGGAGTATTTTTTTCTTTTTTTTTTTTTTCTTTTTTTTCTTTTTTTTCCCCCCTCCACCTTTTAAATATAGGAATTCTCTCTTAAATTAGAAAGTAGGCAAAAAGTACTTTTTTTTTTTTTAAATTTTCCTTTTTTTTAAGTCTTCTATTAGAAAAAATAGAGATTTCTTAAACAAAAAAATAATAAGGTAGAAAGAGAAGGGTTGGGCCTCCATCAAAAAAGTAGATTATGCTTTAATGCAAAGAGAAAGAAATGGCTCTATGGGCAAAATTCAAGTATGAGTGACCAGTTTTTTTAATTGTAAAGTCGGTGCAACATTTTTTGAAAATGTTACAACACTGCACGACCTGTAACGCTCACAATATTTACAGGAACTGCTTACACGAAACCAGGAAAACTCGGCAAGAGAGGAGAAAAAAATCGGTCTGGACTGAAAGCAAACTACTCCTGCCCCCCCAGCAGTGCCGTCATCCACCGAGGGAAGGAAGCGGGGCCACGGAAACACCGGGAAGTACAACACCTAAACGCTCCCAGGAGCTTGGACACAGCTCTGGGATGGGGTGGGATGGGAGGCAGCGGGGGCTCGGGGAGCCACGGACACGCCCGAGGGACACCGGCGACCGGAGCGACGTGGGACGGAAAAACGGGAGCCACTGCACCCCAAAACAGCGGGAATGGGAACCCAGCGGAGCAGGGCCATGGAGCTGCCCCACGGAGCCGTGGGGTCCCACCCGGGCCGGAGGGGACGAGCCCGGAGGAGCCCAGAGGTAGGTGCTGCGTGCCCGGGAACGCGGGAGCCCAGCCCAGGGAATCGTCATCCTCGGGGTCATTCCTTCGGACACGCACCGTGGGACCTGGGACAGGAGCAAGGAGTTGGGATCCTGGCACCCTGGAGAGCCCAGGGAGCTGATCGCTGCCAGTCCTCGCTAGAGAGCGACACCGGGAATGCGGGGGGAAGGAATCTGAGGTAAGTGGTGATCCCGGATGAAGGACTCCAGCCCGGGACTGGGAATGGTGAGCAGAACTATCCCAGGAAGCCTTGAGGATGCCACGGCTCCCCTCGCCATCCCCACCGTCCGTGGGGAAAAAGAAAAATGAAATCCAATGGAAAGAATGTTGTGCTACACTCCCGTTGGTTAAGTTTATAATGGCTCATAGCTTTAGACTTTTAAATCTGTAGTGTATTAATTTCTTCTTTTTTCTACATATGTTTCACATTTCTCACTTAATATAACATAAATAATTTGGTTAATAGATTTAACCTGCGCATTTCAGCCACATTAATATATATAAGAATCTGTTAATGGTATAAATAATTCTTTTTAAATAAAATAAATCTGATATGTTACATAATACTGATAAAAATCACTGCTGCTAATAAGTTTTGTAAGCCACCCTTAACTCCTTTTTGTGTTTCAATACCGAGGGATGGATAGCGGGATTACCTTTTCCAGAGCATTGCCCTTCCATTCTACTGCCAAACCAACTGGAACCAACACTGATCCCTTCTCAAAGCAGGGCCTCTGCCCCCCTGCAGGGTTAATGAAGTTAGACAATCTCGGCTAATTAATCCAGGGGTCAATGTTACGGGGGGGGGGGTATCGACTGGTTAGTTCCTCAGGGGGCTCTGAAACCTCACCTACAGAACTGCTTGACTAAAACAGGCCTCCTACTGTTCCTTTGTCCTCTTCAGTCCAACCTACAGCATCCTACTGGAAAAGCTACGGAAACCAAAAGCAACCGATGGCTGCGGCCTTGGAATTCTCCATCAGAGCTGCGATCCCACATCCCATGAGGAATCTGCACTCTCCTGCAGGGACCTGAGTGGAGTACAGCACTTCCAGGCAAGGTTCATTCCAAACAGACAGGATCCATGAACACTCAGTGGCGTGAAGGGGATGTCATAATTAAGGTATTACATAATCATGCCTTCTCTCTGCTGTTAAATACAAAAACAGCATCTTTTACATTATCATATAAAAGCATTTAGGCTGTATTTTTATTTATCACTTTACACTGGTAGTCTCTTGTATGTGTACTCAATAGAAACCAAAGAATTTTGTACACTATTTTTTGTACAATAAAAGATAAAGTGTGCATTAGGTACGCTTGTACATGACAATATTGTACAATATTTACAGTTCAGATATCACCAGGAAATTCTGTATTATCTATATACACAAGGAAAATTTCTCAGAAACATTTGGACTATTTCTTATAATCACAATTTTTAGTATCATAGAAAAAAAAAAAAATTCAGTAATCATCTGACATTGTTACTGCAACCATTCCAGATTTCTGATTGGCTTCTCCAGCAACTTCTACCCCTCCTGATCATCCCAAATCTTGTCCCACTGCCCGGCGTGTGCCCCGCTGGCATCGAGCTGTCCCCACATAAATAGTGATGTACCAGCCTAGAGCAATACCTACAGATGGACTCAGTGTTCACAAGTACTGGACCAGTAACAAAGACATTCAATGTTATCTAGAGATCTTCCTCCTCTTGAGTTTTGGAGGCTTCACTTGTCTGTCTCCCTGCGGGATTGGGTGGACCTAAAAATAAGTATATTCACAGGTTAGCAAAGGACAGTGGGCAGGGGGGTCAGTGAGCTACAGGGTTGATTAAAGGGCTGTTAGGAAACAGGGCTCAATATTCCACAGCTGCACAGAAGCCTGAACTAAAGGAACTTCAGGAATTTTGAGGAGCTGGGAGGAAAGGGTGGATGACACATCCCAAACCAGCTGCAGTGCTTGGGAAACCACATAACCAGGACCTGATGTCCAAACTGCAGTTCTGTCAGATTGTCGGTGGCAAACCTGGAGACCCTGTCAGGACAAGAGCCATGAGGTGGGAAGCAGGTGGTGAGAAAATGCTGCTGCCAGGGAAAGCCAGGGCAGTCCAGCCCAGGGCCGTGGGGTTATTAAGGAATCATCAGCAAACTCCTCGGCCCGTGCTTCCAAGGAAACAGTTCTGAGCCAAGGGCCGGGCTGATCTGAGAGCAAAACAGTTTTCCATTGGGAGAAACCAAGTGGGAGAGGAGGAGGAGGAGGAGGAAGGCTGGGGCTTGGTGTGGAATTCCACCACCATCTGTTGGCGGCAGCTGCAGCTTCCCAAGAGCAGGAATGGATCCTCTGGCACTTCCTGGGCCCTTCCCAGCTCCTCCAGCCCCCGACATTCCCTGCCTCTGCACTGGCTCTCCCTCCTGCAGCTGAGGATCCCACACGTTTTCCAGCTCAAACTGACTGATGCCTGAGCTGTAGTAGCTGAAAAAAAATGCAAGTCACTAAAAAGAGAAGTGCTGATTCCTGGGAGTGTTTCTAGGAATGGTAATCTTTATGGAAATGAACCCTGAGCACGAGTTCCGCGCCCGGATAATTAAAATATAAATCAAGATGCTGCACTGACACTCAGGTGCATCAGTTTGGTGTGACAGAGCCACCAGCTCAGCAAATCCACTTCCAGCAGCGGCAATGCACAGCAGCTTTCAGTATTCCTGGATTTATACATGGAAAAGGTGTCAGCAGGATGGTCCAGCCCGACCCCACATCCCTGATTTAATTGTAACAGACCCACAGTCAGACCCTGCTTTCCTGGTCCTTCCCAAGACAGCAGGGAAATGCCTCTTGTTTCAAATCAAAGCTCAAATCCCAGTTTGTGAAATTCAGAAGTTTAAGCAAAATATTTGATTTTGTTATTACCCAGAGCAGCCGCTAAAAGCTACTGAAAAACTTATTTAATATTCCTTGGTGGCTCTGAAATCAGCTCTGTTCTGCAGTTATTATTATATCTATAAAGAATATATATATATAATATACATTTATATATATAATATGCATTATATATAAATATATACAAAGAAAAAGATCTATATTCTTATATATGCACATATATAATTCATATAATATATAGATTATATATAAATACATATAAAGAGAAAAGAATATTCTTATATATATATTTCCTTTTTTATACTCCAGAAGCTCCCCTGAAGTGTTACTCGCACTTCCAAACATGTCATAATTAATTATTTGAATAATTAATTACTAATTATAAGATCTGGGAGTTTGCACGTGCTGTGGTAGATTTTTTTTTTTAATTTTCCAGTGGGCTCCAATGAAATTACAACTAAATATGAAGATGAGAACATTATATAAACTTAATTTTATATCAGGAAGATTCTGGACTGAGATAATAACAGTGAATCATGGTAGAAAAACCACTGTTGGATGTGATATTAGAAATACTCTTCTTTAAAACTTACCTTTCATGGCAATATCTTTCATTTCTCATGAGGAAAACTTTATTCCAAGAGTTTTACATGCAAAGAATGATCCTTTCAAATGTGGTTTCTACTCAAACTGAGAAACAAATGAGCCTGATTTTGTGTCATTAGTCAGAGAAACCCCCTGGAATAGGAGTGGGACTGGAACTGATCCCAATATTTTCAGGCTCCGGGTGGAAATCTCTTGTCAAAAGCAACAAAACTGGCAATGCAACTAAAATTCTACGACTTTTCCCATCTTTCAGAACTACCTGACATTTGCAAACTGTCTTTTAACGCAGGAGAAACACTGAAAATTCCACATTATTGAAGGAGATAGAAACAAAACTGGGTAGGAAGCAACCCAAGCCAACCCTCCCTCACGGACACGAGCAGGGGTACAGGAAAAGGAACTTACATTCCCAGACATTTTGTCTAGTTCACTCATGGCCTCGTGTATAGCAGCTTCTAAATGGTTATTTAGCTTTCCACTTCTAGGAGGAAAAAAAATAATGCATCAGTCATTCTGGATAACAGCAAAAACCCCTTAAAAATGAATGATAAACACAGGAACTCCTTGGGAATGTTGTAACTGGGGAGCCTCCCGGGCTGTTGGAGCACAAGCAGGAAGATCAGACCTCTGGATAGTATTATGGGAAGTGAAGCTTGTGTTGGAATTGCTGAAGAAAAGTTAAATACCCTTCTAACTTTAAACAGGTGTTGCATTAATTACCTCAAATATTCCTGGTTTGACCCTGGAATGAGGCACCCCAAGGGCTGTGGGACAGCTGGGGGCAGGACTTTGTTCTTCCAACCCCAAATTACCCCAAGGCACTGAGAGACACTACTATGGGCATCCAGCCCCGTATCCTCAGGAAGCAAGGAAGTGCTGTCATCCTTGTTATCCTGCCTTGGAGAGGCAGGAAGGAGAGAAAGAGGAGGAGGAGGAGGAAGAGAACCATCTTAACCATCTGTATCCTAAGGGGAGGTGGTGGCACAGACAGGGAAGGGAAGGGAACACCTTGTCCCCAGCTGGCACAGGGGGTCAGTCCCTCACAGGAGACACTTCCTATAAAAACCCTTCCCTCTAATCACAGAATCACAGGATGGGTTGGAAGGGACCTTAAATCTCATCCAGTGCCACCCCCTGCCATGGGCAGGGACACCTTCCACCAGCCCAGGTTGCTCCAACCTGGCCTTGGACACTTCCAGGGATCCAGGGGCAGCCACAGCTCCTCTGGGCAACCTGGGCCAGGGCCTCCCCACCCTCCCAGCCAGCAATTCCTTCCCAATATCCCACCTAAATCTCCCCTCTTTCAGCTTAAGGCCGTTCCCTCTCTCTTTAACCAGGAAATCAAGCTCATGAGCTCAGCTGGGATGTTCTTCCTTGGGGGATTAATGACTTTGCCACACAAATCTAGAAGAGTACATGGGAAAATGAGGAAGGGTCCATGAGGAGACACCAAAGGATCTGATCCATCAGATAAACTGAAATAGGGATGATCTTGGAAAAAACAAGCACCAAAACTGTCTATCTGGCATAAAAAATTACTTAAGTATGTAAGTGACATACAAATAAAAGTAAAGCTCACAACTTAAAAGGAGGGGAAGAGGGAGAATTATTTAATCTCCCTTATTGAGAACTGACTTGGAATTCTAACACAGATTTAAGGAATATATTTTCCCTGCCACAGCAAATAAGCAGCAGCATCACAGAACAAACCCAATCCCAATTTCTACTTTGTCATCCTTTTAGAAATGTCCAAAGGGTTTTTTTTCACCCCCAAACTCAATAATTTTCCTGGTTTTGTCTATCCTGATGCTTCATATCCCAGTATTTGCTGCCTCACAGTGTTCTATCCTTGTGTTTTCACTAAAAGCTAAAAAGGAGGAAAAACCCCACCAGCTCCCCCAGGTCTGACCCAGAGCTCTGCTCTGGGTTGGTTAAACACAGCCAGGCCCCACAAATCCTAAAACACTTCCAAGGAAGAGGAAATAATGGGAATGTCTCTGAATAAACCTGTACAAAAAACCTGAATAAAAAGGGAATTTCTCTGAACAAACCTCTGCCAGAGGGAGAGGGAGAAGGGCAGAGCTGGTTAAAAAGCATTATTTGGTCACAATAGTTTTGATGTAATGACTTTTTTTTTTGGTAAAAATGAGAAAATCAGGAATCCCCCCTCAGGAAAGCTCACACAAGCAGGATGACATTTCACAGGGGCTACTGGAACTACCAGGAGAGGCACTAAAAATTCAGATATCCAAGCTCTTGGGTGAGTCTGTGACTCTCAGAACCAACAGGAGGAATCAGAGAACTAACTCCTCAGTTTGCCTTCTCCAAAAGGGAAGCAAAAAAAAAAATGGGATGATTGTATTTCCCCGGTAAAGAAGGAGGATTTACTCACTTCCTGTTCCTTTTCCTGGCTCGGCTGTAGGCCTCCAGCCCCTCTGTTAGTGTCTTCAGCTTCTCTGGCTCCACCTGAGTGAAGGGACGAACACCAAACCACGTTACCCGGAGCTGCAATCCCCACACATCGCTCTCACCCCCCCGGCAGCCTGGAATCTCAGCCCAAAAAACCAGGCAGGCACAGCAGGCTCCGCCCTGGAAAGCATTAAAACACTGGGACACATAATACAGTCCTTACAGGTGCCCCCAACATCAAAGTGTTCCCATCACCTCCAGTTCCTGGGTGGAAAATTGAAGGCCAAATTCCTTCCTATTCCAGAGGAAAAGCTTTATTTGTGCTTTAGGAATCCAAGACTCCTCACTAAAAGAGTCCTAAAATCAGTTATTTCAATTTTTTTTTTTTAATTTAAGAAGATCCTTTACCAACCTGCTGAGTCAGGGATGGATTTGGGCAAGGGCCAATATTGGTATCTGAGAGTGTTTGAACTGGAAATTTAAGCTGTGGATATTTTAAGCAAGGGGTACCAGTTCATCCCAGCACAAACAATAAAAGCAAGAAGATAATTCATTAATTATATCATCTCTGTAATTTTAGCGTTCGCATTCTCCAAACATGAGTCCACTTAACTCGATTATTTTCATCTGGCTCAAGCAACTTCTGCTTGTGAAAACAACCAAATCAGGATTTATGACACATCAACCTAAAGAAAATCTGAATTCTTTTTTACTTTGCTACATCTTGATTGGTATTTTTTAACTGAACAAGAACCAGCTTTTGTGTTCTGACACAGGGAAAATGAATTCTATAAACACAAATTTATTAAGTTTGTACAACCCAAAAATGAGATTGAAATGCAAATTCCCTCCGCACTCAGCCTTTTCAATTCCCAAATAATTTATATTCCCCACGGAACTGATGTTTGGATGTGACAAGGGGGAAGTTAATGAGTGAGCAGGCTGTCAAAATCTCTAAAAATACAAATTTAGATCCAATTCCCCAAGTCTTGTCTCAGGCCCGTGCTAATGAAATTGGGGAATAATTCCAGGAGTCACTAATGGAGGAATCTGCACGTGGGGAGGTGAGAATTCAATTTCCAGGAATTCAATTCAATTATGCCACAAATTGGAGAGTTTTCCCCCTTAAAACTGTGCTCACTTTTAATGCAAATACTTCCAACCAGTCCTCTCCTCGTTGGATTTTGGAAGAACACAAATGCACAGGGAAGAAACAGAACCTATTGGAAACCTGGGGAGCTTTTCCAAGGCAGGGAATTATCCCTTTCCATGTGTATCTAAGGAACAACCTGCAGGGGCTGCAACCACCTGCCACGAGATAAATGAGAAGGTTCAAGGGTAAATAAGAATATAAAGAATTAATATCATGTTTGGGTGACAAAGGACTTGTGTTCAGCAACAGAAAGGACTCAATGTCTTCATTACTGGCATTTTGTGATGCCTATACATTAAACCCCACTTTTTTAAAAGAAGTATGAAACTACTACAAAACAGGGCATCCAAAGCAAGCCTACCAGATTAATAATAATTATCAGTATCAATAATAACAGCAGTTAATAACAGAATCAGTAGGAACACTAAATCGTACACACAGATGGGGTTTCCAGCACATGGATAAATCACACCTGTAAGACTAGAAAAGCCCAGTTTAACCAGCCCAGTTTAACCAGCCCAGTTTAACCAGCCCAGTTTAACCCATTAAGAACAGTGTTTGCCCTGAGCAGACTGACCAAGGAAAGCTCAACAAAGCCTTGGACCTTCCCTTTGTTGCCCTCAAACCCTTGGTCCTGCTCTGGTGATTTGAGGTGGATAATAATCAAACTCATTGATTTAATTGCACATCCTCTGGTTTAGGATGCGTGGATTCAGACTCGCTCCTCTCCTTCCCAGACATCTCTGCTCCTGCTGCTGCACCTCCCTTGGGCTCCTCTGACATCCAACAGCCAAGAAAACAAGGAAAGGAAGGTGTAAGATTCCTCCTTTCTCCTGCTGGGGAAACCCCAGCCTGGCTGCTCTCCAACACACCCATTATTGCTCTGAACACCCCCATGGAAACCAAAATCAAACGATGTCTAAGCCAGAGAACAGGGAGAAGCACAAATCCCAACAGCAAACAATTGTCACAATGCAGGAGGGGCACGTTTGGTACACAAACACTTCCAGAGATGTTTCAGGGAAGCTCCACGGAAAAGAGGATTTCCAGAAGTGCTGCAGGTGACTCCCACCATGGATGTGACTGAAGGGCAGAACTCCTGAAGCCCATTTGGTTTTAAAGGCGATTTCTTTTTGGTTTTCCAGGTTATTTCTCTTGGTTTGGTGTGGGTTTTTTTTTTCCCTGTATCCCACCTTTCACCCCCAACTCCTGCCCTTTGGAATGGCCGTTCACTCTGTGCTTCTTGATGGAGACAATCAGACACACTTTTAAAATTTTTTTTTAAAATTTAAACTGATTAAATTAAAGGTCTTCTGATGCCAGAGGTGATCCATGACTTCCTGATGAGGGACTTGAAGGGGTACCTTGACAGGAGCATTCCCAGGCTTTGCTTCCCTGGTTTTTGGGCTTCAGCACCCAATGAAATGGGTGCCACTGGATTTCTCTCACACAATATTCATGGAATGCACACAAACCCCACAAAAACAAAGGAGGCAGGTTTGCACAAAGCAACAACACGTTCTGGTGCCCCCAAACCAGGGAGGAAACACGGAATCGCCAAGGAATGGAAAGCAAAATAAATTCACCTCTTTACAGGAGTTCTAAAACCAAAACTCTTCAGTTATATCCAGCACAACTATATCAGTCACAGAGATGTGGATACACAATTTTGGAAGTTAATACATAAATCCATACTGGGAACATGTGAGAGCCATAACTGTGTTCCTGATTCACACGGGACAGGGATATTGTACATCTGATTTTTCCAGTTTTGTTTAATCTTTAATAGTTTGGGGTCTTCTCCTGTGCCTGCACTTTGTAAACTGACTGGAAATTTGGGGATGTGACCATCCCAGGGACTGAGCTTTGCAGCCTTGTCCTGGTTTGGGCTGGGACAGAGTTACACCAGGACAAGCTCTGGAATATTGTCACCTGCAAAGAGAGACTGAAGTTCTCCTGAATTAGGGTGCAACAACCCCGGTTATTTTATAAGAACTACAAAGATAAAATGTTATACAAGTAGTGGAGACCAGACTTGGAAATATTTACTGTAACAAAGTAACCAATAACTCCTCGATAACTTATTGCCTGTATATTCCCCCACAAGCACACGATTTGTGGACACAAAAGAAAGGATTTCAGCATGAAAGAGCAAATTTCCTCCCTACTAAAAGACGATCCAAACCTCCTTTTATGCTGAAAATGTTGAAAATGTGTGTGCATTTCCTCTGTGGCAATCAGCAAGATTCCCCTTAATACACACTCCTCCTGCTGATTCGATCACTTCTCCTTTTTTGCAGTTTCAACACTTTCAGGTATTTTCACACCAGGTTTTGACACAGCCAGAAATTTGACTGAACACACAACGGCAGCGAAAGCCTTTTTTCGATAACACCACTTTTCCATGCACAACTGATTTAGTAAAGCCCAAACCTAACCTCTCTGAAGGCAACTGGCACAAGTTTCTTACGGGAAACCACGGGGAAATTCAGTCCTACGAGCTACAGGTAAGGAAAAAAACCCAAACCGTGCTGCTAAAATAGGAGACAAAGACCAAAATGACGACGTTTTGGTGGGCACGTGGAGAGAGAGAGAGATGTGCATAGATATATAAATATACCTTCCCCTCCTCAGCGTTCTGTTGACATGAATTGTGAACTTCTTCCTCCCTCACCAGTTTCCCAGGCCATGAAGTGAGTCCTTTGATCTGGCCCCAGACCAAGTCGCCCACGTTGAACGTCCTTGGCCTGTAGTGGAGGAGCTCGTGGGAGGAAGGCGAGTCGGGGTTCCTCAGGTCCTCCTCGCTGCTGATGCTTTTAGCATCCGAGGGGCTGGGCACACACCCATTAATGCTTTTGGCATTAAAATCTCCATTGTAATGGATGTAGTCTTTCACCAAGGAGCTCTCCAAGCTATTGGAGGAGCTCGGGGATTGCTCTTCCAGACCCAGGTCTTGTTTGGAAGCGCTCAGCAGGTCCCCGAAGGCCCTGCCCTGCTGCGGCCTGTTCCCGTTGATGTGTGCACAGCGTTCCACAGTGTTCTCCAGTCTGTCCTTGAAGCTCAGCATAGTTCTTTTGTAATTGTTATACCTGAAATTCTCCTCCAGCGCCTTCTCGCTCTGGCAGTTCCTCTGCGGCAGCAGGGCCTGGTGCTGCTCCCCCGGCAGCAGGGGCAGCGCCGAGGCGTTGTTGGGCCTCTCGTGGCACGGGCTGCCGTGCAGGTGGGAGTGCTCCAGGAACTCCTCGCACTTCCACCTGTTTATCTCACCCACCGGGCTCTGCTCCCCTTCCCACTGTTTTTTGGGGGTGTTACAGCTGGCCGCCTTGTAATACTCGTAGCCCTCGCCCTCCCCGGGGTTCTTGCCGTGCTCGGCGCCCTTGGGGCCGCGCGCGCCACGGGCGCCCCTGGCCCTGCCCTCGTGCTCGGGCACGGCCACGCCGCGGCCGTGGATGACGGCGCTGACGGCGCTGGAGAGGTTCAGGGGGTCCCCGATGGAGGCTGTGAAGGCACTCATGGCACTCAGGGCGGGGATGGGGCTCATCTGGGTGGTGCTGCTCACGGCCGTGGTGATCACCACCTGCATCCCCTTGCTGGCCGCGTCCACCACCGCCTTGTAGATGGCGTCCACCGACGGGTCCCCCGGGCCACCCACGGGCAGGGAATCCTTGGGCTGCTGCCCCAGGGGGGGCTCGGCCCGGGGCTGCAGCTCACAGGAGGGTTCTGGGAAGGGAGGGAGCATCGCGTTGGAGCTGTCGGGAACCGGCGCCATTCCCATCTGGGCGATCATCCGCTTGTTCAGGACCGCGGCGTCCTCCTGCATCCTCACCTGGGGAAGGACAGGAGAAGATGGGAGTTCATATTCTGGATTAATGTTTCACGGAATTGCAGAGGTGTTGGGGTTGGGAGGGGCCTCTGGAGATCACCCAGTCCAACCCCCCTGCCAAGGCAGGGTCACCTGGAGCAGGTGACAGGAGAGACCTCTGGAGATCACCCAGTCCAACCCCCCTGCCAAGGCAGGGCCACCTGGAGCAGGTGACAGGAGGGACCTCTGGAGATCACCCAGTCCAACCTCCCTGCCAAGGTAGGGTCACCTGGAGCAGGTGACACAGGAACTTGTCTGGGTGGGTTTGGAATGTCCCCAGAGAGGGAGACTCCACAACTATTTCAACAGACAAACTTGGTCTCATTTTAATTAAACCCCGAGGTGGTGGCCAGGGTGACTGTTCCTCAAAGGACACCACTTCATTTTGATTAAATACCATTTATGAAGTTAAATGCAGAATAAGGTAGAGAGAAAACAAAACCCCTAATTTAGAGGAAATAAGACCCACTGGCTCTCAGACTTTGCCTCCTGGATCAAACTGGACACCTTGACATGATCCAGCCCCCCATGCACTGCTGAGAGTTCAATGTCATCCCTTCCAGAGCCTTTCAGGAATTTCCTCGTCTGACTGAAGCTCAGCTCTTTTCTTTTCTTCTCTCAAGTCCTAAACAACTCCACCAAGGTCAGTACTTTTGTTACAGAATCCCAGGATAGTTTGGCTTGGAAGGATCTTAAAGCCCATCCAGTGCCACCCCTGCCATGGGCAGAGACACCTCCCACCAGCCCAGGTTGCTCCAACCTGCCCTTGGACACTTCCAGGGATCCAGGGGCAGCCACAGCTTCTCTGGGCAACCTGGGCCAGGGTCTCCCCACCCTTACAGCCAAGGATTTTTTTCCTAATATCCCATCTAAATCCCACAACCTTCTCTTCTGCAGGCTCCTCCAGCTGAGATGATCCAGTCCAAGCTCCAGCTACAGGAGGTGGCACAGGATCACATCCAGGTGGGTTTTATGCATTTCCAGAGAAGGAGATTCCACAGCCCCCCAGTTCTGTTCTCAGCTATTCCTTCCTCCCTTCCTGGCACCTCCAGACTAAACCAACTGAGCTTTTTGAACTCCCTGTCACATCCACAGGCAAGGATGACAATGGCAATGAGAGCATTGTAACAAAACACTGCAAAGAACAACATGAAAATTTTCCAAAAGCCCCTTTAAACTGCTTACCATGACCATTATTTATAGAACTGGGAATCTGGTGCAAAAAACCACTGAGCTAAAGCTACCAAAATTCACACAAGAGAGGGAACAGGCAGGTAGAAAAACTGAGATTTTGCAGTGGAACATCTACACTGAGAAATGACACATCTCCTTTTCCCTCCTTACAGGGTAAAAGCACTGCCTGGCTCTATCTCCCTGTCCCATCCTCACATCTGGAATTCTGCAGCAACCACAGCAACCCCAAGTAACAATAAATCCGTATTTCCCTCCGGCTTTATTCCCTACTTTTGCCATGTCAGTGTGTTGGTTGGATATTCAACTTGCCCTGTGAAGAACTGGCTATTTAGGTGAGAGCAGCAAAGGATCATTTTTGCACAGTTTGTCACTGTACATTCACTCTAATCCCTGTTTTCTTCAGGCTGCAGAATCCAGCAGCTCTTCCATGCAGTTGCAGTGGGAATACAAGAGGACTGGCACACACAGTCACCTACAATAACTCATTAAGCTTCTAATTATTGTGAAGTGGTTCCAGCATTTATTTCTCACTGCTGCATTATCAGAATGGGCTGAATGGGAATTTATGATCCTTTCTGCACAATGGAAAAGAGTTTTGCTAAAAATTCATAGTATTGTCAGCACATAAATAGCATATTTTTTTCAATACATGCAGCATAACTCCTTCCAAGGAAACCGGACCCAATTCCTGCAGAGAAAGGTATAAAATTTCCATAAAAATGTCACTGATTTGCAAAACCCAGAGTGAAAGAGTAAAATGTAGACAGTGTATATATATAATTTATATGGATCATATTGCCTTAATCAGCAAAGAAACCCAGCCCCTGGGGGATGTAATTTTACCTCCTGAGAGCTGCCCATTTGTTGGAATATTGCTTCCCTCTTGCTTCCTACCTGGAAATTCTGGAACAGACAGGCCATGGGGTTTGGGTTGTTGGCTGGGCCAGGGATTTGGGGCTGGCCCTGAAAGCCCTGCACGTTCTGGTAGCCCTGGAGAAGGTGCTGCTGCTGCTGCTGCTGCTGCTGCTGCTGCTGCTGCTGCTGATTGGGAGGAAACATCTGATTGTTGTTCAGGAGCGACTGGAGATGACTCAGCTGATGGTTGTTCAGAGTAGTGTTCAGGGATGACATGTCACCTGCAACCCAAACACAGGCAAACACGAGTCACAGCCGTTCCCAGCCCTCAGCAGGGATTTCCTTGACTCCAGTTTTAACTGACTGCTGAAAATGCCTCTGTAAAACAACCCTGCTCCCCTCCAGTCTCCCAGAGGTCCTCAAGGGATGTCTCTCCTGCTCTTTGTTCCTCCTTTCTTGTGTCACATCCACCCGGATCTGCCTGAAGGGCCCTGACAGGACTCTGGGAACAGCCAAGTTTGGCAGAAGGAGCCTCTGTGACAGCCCATGGCTTGGAATCTCCTTCAAACAGCACTGGGGTGGGGGGAGGGAGGAGGAGCAGACACAGAGAAAAGTGAAAATAATTCAAAACCCCAACAAAAGTGGTTTTTTAATAATTATGACATGAGCCAACTGTGAATGAGAAAAGGCTTTTTTGCCCCAGACGTGGAACACCAAACAATTATTTTTGTACATTCAAGAGTAAAAATAGTAGTAATAGTTTGTATTATATGAAAATTTCAATGTGGAAATTCTAGTTCCAGTAAAATAAATATGAAACAGTAAAGCTTAAAATATATTCATTTTTTACTCGGTTTCTTTTTTTTTTTTAATTAAAAGCTCTGGTTTTCCTTAAAATTTCCATTTGCAGAATCACTGGTTAGTTGTATTTTACATGGAAAATGTCAGGTAGGGTTGAGTCCACTGCAGCCATTAGTAGGGCAGTATGAGGTATTAAGTTAAATATTTAAGTTAAAATACTTTATCAGCTCTTTGCCACTATTTAATTCCTCACATTTAATTAGATACACAGACCAAACAGAGAAGCACTAACTCTATTACATATTTTTGGTAAAAATAATCAAAAAATCATCACCCAGGATAAAGAAATCTTGTATTCAAGAGGTTTTTAATCACTTTTTTTTTGGGTGTTGGTCCTGCACAGCTACTCCCACTAACCCTGTGCTGCCACACTCTGCACCCAGGGAGGCTCCTGAGCTGCTGCTCCTTGAGCAGTGAAACAAATGCTAACACAATTTTCCGGTGTTTATAGAAGGTCTAGGTGGCAGAATTAATAATTTCCCAAATCAGTATTAAACACTGAGGAATCCAAGCAGAATTTGCTTTAAACCTCCTGCCAGAAGAGTTATTCTCCACAAACAAGCTGTCACACACACACACACATAAAAAAAAAGGGTGGCAAAGCGGAGTTTTTGCAAAGAGAAACGAAAATCCAAAGCTCCCCCTCCCCTCCCCTCTTCATTTGATTCCTTTCTTTATTTTTTTAAGTTTCCTTTTATACCTGGGAAGAAAACTGGACTTACCAAGCAGGCCCGTCCCCAGGAGAGGGTTAAGGAGCTGTGGCACCACAGAGTTACTGTTGAGTTTGGCTGGCCCAGGAGCACTCCCAGCACTATTAGATATGTTCAGCAAGGTTTCTGCCATGGACACCACGGCCGTGCCACCGCCCAGCGCCGAGACAGACAGAGCTGCCACCGCCGAGGACGTGGTGGTGGTGGTGGTGGTGGCCTGGGAGGAGGTGGCAATGGAAACCTCCGGGTGGCCGGCGGAGTTCAGGACACCCCCCACCAGCTGGGGGTTCAGGGCCATGAGCGCCGAGGGCCCCGAGCCGGCGGGCAGGAGCAGGGGGTTGGAGGCCGTGTCGGCGCCTGGAAAGCTGGGAATGGGGTTGGACAGGAGGGTCTCCACCCTGGAGCCATCGGGCAGGGGCTCAGGGGGGGCCGGCGGCTGTGCGACCGAGGGCACGGGGGGGTTCTGCTGCTGCAGCAAATCTGAGATGGTCACATTGAAGGATGGCACGGGGAGCATGGCAGCGGCTTGGGCTTGGTTCTGGAGCAGGGCTGCCAGGAGCTGGAAGTGCACGGGCTGCAGAACCTGCCCGTCCACGTCGCCGGAGAGAAAAGCTAAAGCGGCGTTTACATTCGGGTTGAGAAAACCTAAAGGGTTGAGGTTGACCTCGGACTTGCCTTCTCCCGCTGAAGGCTGCAGGATATTTAATAGGTTCTGGTTTAGGAGCTGCTGCTGATTGACGGGCAAGGAGAGAGGCAGGGAGCTGAGGAGGTTGGGGTGCAGGGCGGGCGGCAGGCTGCCGCTCCCGGCGCTGTTCTGCGGGAAGGGCAGCGGCGCCTCGGGGCCGGAGAAGGGGAAGTCGGTGCCCACGGGCAGCTGGCCCTGCTGGAGGGGGGTCCCGGCTGCCGTGGTGACAATGACACCGTCCTGCAGCACGGAGGTTGTCTTGGTGATGGCAGGTTGGCTGGTGCCGGCGATGGCGATGGACGATGACGGCCCCGAACCGCCTGGAACACAAACAAATCCAGCTGTTAACGGGGTTCTGCCTGTTGGAGGCACATCCGAGTCATGCAATAACCCAAACCAGCCGTGTCTGACACCCACACACGGGAAAAAGGATGTCTGGAGCATCCAGACTCGAGTCCTTTTACAGTATGGATGGATCTGCCACCAGCTACTGCAGACGCCCATCGGGAATTATTGAACTTGTGTTTCCCCTGAAGTTCTTTGATGGGGACAGAACAGGATTTCATCCATCAGCACAAACCCCAAGGCAACCAGAACATAACAGAGCCAGTTGTGGACCAGTTATGGTCCCAGTTAATCCCAGTTTGGGATGAACCACTTGGGAGAAGGATCATGGATGATGTTGGGGGCGAGAGTGTGAGAACACAATCTATTTCCATTTCTATTTAATTCACGGGCTCACAGATTTTAAATTATTATTCAAAGCACTATTTTGGACTCCTGAATTAAAACACATGATGAATCTGATGAGTAAAATACATTTTGATCCAGCTCTGTTGGCATTCACAGCCCCCAGTGATTTATACAGAAAAAAATGTGGATTGGGGTGGTAAAATCAAACCCATCACTTGGCATGAAAACAAAGAGCAACTGGGTAAATTTACTATGAAAAAGTTACAAAGAAAGAGTAATAAAGTTTATCTGGGTATCTTTACACCCCTTCAGCAAAGTTGAAGCATAAAATATTGTTATTTTTTTCCTTAAGGCAGAGTCTTGAACTGGCCCAAAAAGCACCTGGGAGAATTAAAGCAAAGGGAATTCCCTTGAAATATGTCCTTCTACTTTATTTACTGCAGCTCACTGGAGGACACTGGAGTATTAGATTTATATCTAAAACTGTGTCATTATAAATGGATTTAACGATGGTTACATGCAGTGAAATAACTTTCCATCCTCAACTGCCATGCAAATACCAGAGATCAGAAGGTCCCAAATAATCAATTATAATTTTTCTCCACAGATACCATTTGAAAAGGGATATTCAACCACACACTCAGCTGGTAAGAGCTGAACCAACTCTTTACATCATTTGCACCTTAAACCGCCACTTTTCAAGCACTGTGACATTCTGACAACTCAAAAAAAGGTCCAAAATTAACACAGAGCACGGGGCACTGCACTGAACTCAGTCTGGAACAAGGAAGGAAAACCCCAAAATACACATCCCACTGGATTTCCACTCATGGATTCATGTTCAACGCCTCAAATTGGGCAGGAAGAGCAAATAAAAAGCTGCTAATTGGACAAACTGCCCAGAAATTATTCAAGCCACTGACAAATCTATCAGTGCAGAACCATGAAAACCAACTACAAGTGGAGGTTGTCACCTCCCAACGCACCCATCCTGCTGTCACCTGGTTCTGGAGCCTTTGGCAGTCTCCAAAATAAATAAAACAGGAAAAAAAATGGTTTTCTCAAGCCCATGTTCACACATGAAGAGGTACAGGACCATGCCAGGCTTGTGATGGGTCACTGTGGAATCACTGAGAAAGACTTTAATTCTATTTATTCATCTGTTTATTCATTTTTAAAAAGTCCCAAAGACCGACCTACGGATTTAAGAGATACCATTCCCAAAGTCATCCCTAGTTTTAATGGAAGAAGCAGCTGTACCTCCCCAGGGATGGGAGATGGATGTTTGTAATTCATTCATGATGCTGTTTTCCATTCAGGTGAAGGAGCACATGGAAAAGTGTTTGCTGGGAAGCACATCTCAAGAGCTGGAAAATTGCTGCTGGTTTTTTTGGCAAACAGGGCTCTGTTCTCTGACCCATCACCCACCACTCCTGGAGACTCCACCTGAGCATCTTCAACACCTGCCCTTTCTCTAGATTAATTAAACAACTAATTAATTGCTACTGAGGAAAAAAAAAAATCCTGATGGATCCTGAGTAGGAGGAACAAAATGTGTCCTTATTTCAATCCAGGCTGGAGAAGTTTGGGAGTGGAAGAGGTGATGAGCAGCCAGACTTCAGCAGGAAATAAAACACAGACAAACATCCCCCCGGAGGGATATTTGATAGGAAGGCACAGCAGGAATTGGGGGAGAAAAGTCCCAAATTGGGTAGCAGCAAAGACAATATTTACAGCTACATTCTGGGACAGCTTCATGACTGAACTGCCAAAATATGAGTTCTGGATCTCTTCCCAAGTACCACCTCCGACAAGTCAGTGTTCCAGATGAAGATGTGCAGGCACAGCCATTCCCACTGGAATACAGAAGCTGCCAGAGCTTCTCCATGTCTGGCCCCAGGCCAGGAGATAAAATCTGAGTTGCATTTTCCCCCTTATAAAAGAAGTACAGGGCCCATTATGTGACGGACAGTCCTTCCCTCTGGGATCCCACGGGAACTGTCCTTCCCCAGCTCCATGGGAACTCTCTGAGATCCTGGCTTTTGGAGGTGCAAGGAGAAGGAAAGGATGCCCAGGATCAGCAGGTGGATGATGGACTTGATGATCCTAAAGGTCTTTTCCAACCCTAACAACTCCCTGACTCTGAGATATGTAGAGTTCCCTGAAAGAGCACAAAAACAGGAGCACCAAAGCATGGGAATGACTCTGGATGTGCTTTGGGTCCGAACTTTATTCAAAGGGATTTCCAGACCCACATGTTGTATTTAATGGAACTCCCTAAGGAGAACAGGATCACAGCTGTGACCACCTGCCTTTCCCTAGAGCCTGGAGAAGGACAACAGCTGGAAGAAAAGGCAGAGTTTTGGCAGGGCACCAACTCACACAAAACCCCAACACCCCCAAACCCCCACCCTGAAGCGGTTCATTGTCACCATATCCAGGCTACAAGAGGACAATTAGCAGGGTTTGGATGAGAAACACAGACAGGAGTTGAACACCAAAAGGAAATCACCACTGGGATTCCAAGTCCCACAAAACCATGGCATTGGGAGCCCTGGAAACAATGGTCCTTAACGACCAGAGGGTCTGAAGGGTAAAGGTGGAAAGGGAAAAAGGATGGAGGAGTGAGACCAAAAGCCATAAAAGCCCAGGACAGAGCCTGGCTCGCAGCTCCTGCAGACACAGAGCTCTGCCAAAGGTGCTCCTGCCAGCTGTGCTGGGAAAAACAACAAAAGGGGAAACATCCAGAATGCAGGAAAAGCAGCTCTGTTGTTCCCTAAGAGGGCCAAAGAAAAGAAATGGAAATTGAATAAGATCTATATTTTTAACATCATTACTTATTGTATTTAAGAGCGGTTTTTGTTGTGTTCTCTTTTGACAGCAGGATCGTTTTCCTGTGTGCATTTTATCTGTGTGCATTTCTTGGAGTGTTCCTTGACAGGTTTTCTTCAGCAGAGACAATGAAATAAGGGGTGTTACATGTTCTAGAAGATTCACCATCCTCGTTCACTTGGTTTGGGTCCTACAGGAGTCATGGAAGGTGTCCCTGCCCATGGCAGCAGTGGAACCAGGTGGTCTTTAAGATCCTTCCCAACCCCAACCATTCCATGATTCCCTGATTATAACTACATATATATTTTCCTAAAAGACCGCAGTTAAAGCACGCCAACGAGAAAACAATAATGTAAATAATATTATACAATTAACTTCCCTGTGAGAAACTCCCCGTTATGTATTTTAGTATTTCAGTAGCCAAGAACACATTGCTGGAATTTGTGGAATAAAAATAATCCCTAAAACAGGTGTGTGAAGGACTTAGAAGTAAAAGTGCAGCACTTGTTCATTAGCCATTAACACCTGAAACGTTTCTAGGGTTGAGGACAAAGAAATGTTATGGATTCCACTTTCTCAATTCTTACTTTTCATAGAATCAGAGAATCCCAGGATGGTTTGGGTGGGAAGAGACTTTAAATCCCATCCAGTCCCACGCCCTGCCATGGGCAGGGACACCTTCCAGTATCCCAGGTTGCTCCAACCTGGCCTTGGACACTTCCAGGGATCCAGGGGCAGCCACAGCTTCTCTGGGCAACCTGGGCCAGGGCCTCCCCACCCTCCCAGCCAGGAATTCCTTCCCAATAGCCCATCTAACCACTCCCTGTGTCCTGTCCCTCCATCCCTTGTAAACGGTCTCTCTCCATATCCAATAAAACCACAGCTCCCTTTGTTTTACACTGGGCATTTTCTTTGCTGCTTGTTTAATTCGGAACATTCCAAGTTTGGGAAACCCTTGTCAGAGCTCACATTTAACTCCTTGGTCCTGTAACTTGCTCCCACCCTCTCCTGAGGTTAAATCCCGCAGCTCACACAGGAGAAATCGGCACAGTCCTTCCCAAAAGATCCATGGGAGTGGGGAGAGTTTCCCTGCAGGCCTGACCCCGGGATCAGGGAGGTGTGAAAGCACAAAAGGATCACTCAGACGTTGCAATTATTCCCACAGCTCCCGTGCTTTGTGACTCCTCCACCCACCAGGGCCACCCGTCCCTGCTCCAGGAGCTGCTGCAGCACCACATGGAACAGGAATTAATAACAACTTCAGAGACACAAACACGGAGTTTGCAGCAGTGTAATACTGTTAAATCAGGGATTTTCAGAGCCTTCCCTTTCCCAGTGTCATCACTGATGGAAAACACACCTCACAGGCACTCAAAATCCCAGACATATTCCTGCTTTAGCTATTCCACCCCTTCCCTGTACACTGGGAACCAGGAGCTATGCACTTTAACCATTATATTCTCCCTTTTCTGATTGGAATGGAAAACATTTCAGATGTTTATCTGGCATCCCCTTGATTACAGGGGCTAATTCCAATTCCAATTCCAATTCCCAAGGAGCCATAATTCAGCATTTAAGCACCAAGTGCTGTCAGTCCTTATCGAGATCCTGCACAGGAGAACTGCAAAAAATGGACTAATAAATAAAACATCCTCCAGCAGGAGCAGTTAAAAACCTGAAATTCCCTCCTGTGCAACTCCCCATCCTCGTGGAATGTGCTCTGCTGGGAAATATTTACCTCCCTGTCCATGATATCCACGTTACTGTGCCTACAATCATCACAGGGTTTTTACACCTACAACAAAACAACTGGAATGTTGGCCCCAAAATTTTGTGGAGAGGGCAAAAAAGCCCCAGACTGTTTTTAGGACAACAGAAATCCTTAAAATTGGGCTTTTTTTAATATTTAACACCTGACTGATTGTCACCCTTGGCTCTTCTCCTCTGAATTCTGAATTTTACCCTCACTGCTGTTTTTTAACATGATTTTGGGAAAACTGTTGTGCTGTGCTCAGCTGTGGCTGCAAAACATTGGGAAGGCAAAAATTCCATAAAAAGCATTATTTCTTCCAATAATCCCCACTCCTCCCCCTGGAAAGGGTTGGATTTGCCCACTGGTTCCGCTTAAGGATATTTTGGGATGGTGAGAGCTAAATATGTACAGGAAATCCCAGTTAATTAATTCAGCTTTTCTCCACAATAAGGCTCATCTTTCTGTGCTATTTTATTACTGTTTTTCACAAATCCTTTAACTTTTATCCCTGTAAATTCCTAAAAAACTGTATGGCAGTTAAAGCACCAACCAGGGAAGGGTCTGGTTAAATCAAAGGTTGTAAGTTATGGGGAAATTCAAATTTTGAGAGATAAAACAACGCAAGAAAACCACAAAGTGCATCTAAAAAAGCAGAGAACATTCTCCCTGTTCTTTCCAGTTCTCATTTGAAGAGAAAAACGATCACTTTTCTCTCCCCAAAAATACTAACAGAGGAAAACAAGGTGCAGATTCAAACACCAGCGATCCCTTGTCATGGCTCCCAAGCAGGGAAAAGTCCCTCTGGAAGTTTCTGGAACCCCAAAATCAACAGGACATTTCAACTGGCTTTGTAATTAGGAGAGGAGCTGCTTGGCATCCTGGCCAGGGGTTAGTCCAGTTTAATAAGGAATTTTTCTCAGGCACAACGAGTCCCCCCAGAGGTGCCAGACGCTCTTCTGACCTCGGGAGTCAGGAAGTTCCACTGATTTTGTAATTCCAGGAGATCTGAAGGAATTTTGAGAAGCAAATCCATAGACTCACGTGTTCAAACACACCACTTAATGTGATATATTTGAAAATATTCCACCTTTGATGCACAGAAAGGACCGTTTTCAGGGAAGCAAGGGCCTAAATTCAGTTGATTTTCCACTTAATCCACCAGTACATTTGACCTTTAATTCATAATTTAGGGATGTGACAGCACCATCATCCCTTTCCATCCAAAGTGTTTCCAGGTGATTTTGGGATACAATCCTGCCAGCAGCATCCCCAGTTCCACTGAGAATTCCCATTTTTATGTTGCCAGGAATTCACTCGACTTCTCTTTTTATTTATTTATTTTTTTTTTAATGTGTTTTGTGGAGTTTGTTTTGTTTTGTTCTGGTTTTTAACCCAACTGAGCTGACCCTTTGCAATGAGTGGATTAAATCCAAGTCTCCTAAACCACTTCTGGTTTTCCAAGGCCTTGTTCCATTCCCAATTATCCTGGCTGCATTAAAATAAACCCCTCTGGAGAGGGGCAGAAGCTCCTCCCTGTTGAATTATATTTTACTGTTTCTATTCTGCACATTTCACCAGTTCCAGGGAAAAGGATAAAGCCTTTATTTGCCAAATCTGCCCCAATAAACTTCTCATGTTTCTGATCTTCGAGACAACTTATCATCTTTATTATTATTTGCTGTGGTTATTGTGGTTCCCTTAACTTCCCTATCAGCAAGAAAACCCTAAATAAACCAACCTACAATAAAATCCATCACCCAGTGACACAGCCCCATCCTAATAAAGAGAAAATCCCATCACACTCCCACAGAAAATTACCTGGGAACTGCAGATATTATCTCTGGAAGGAGAAAACAAGAGCCAGAATAACAAAGCTTGGTCCATGTGGTTAAAATAGAATTAAAAGCTCGGCTAATTGTGGGGATTCACAGTATTTTTTCTCCCAGGAACTATTTTGGAGCAGGAGCTGTTCTGAGTGTTGGCACAGACACAGATTTAGCAATTAAAAGACTTCAAAACAAAGGGGAAGAAAAAAAAAAAAGCCACAAGCTGAAATATGAACAGGAGTTTCCTGAAAACATCTGACTCAGCTCTGGAAAACTGAATTTAATGGGCTTTCACCAGCTCCAGCACCAAAACTAACACCCCAGGACAGGATAATTCCCAACATTCCTCTTCCCAGCTCTGTCCCAGAGCTGAGTGCTGACTGGAGACTCACTTTTATTTTTAACACAAGTTGTTATTAACACAAAATACTCAACATTTCCCACGTTGTTGACGGAAAGAACATGAAAACACAACAGAATGCCCCCATCTGGAATTCCACAGCCTGTGGGTGAGATGTAAATCCCACACCTGAGCCCTGTGGGGACTCAGGCAGGAGGCTGGGGGAAGGTTTATGTGTAATTTTAGGGACTAACACAAGGATAACACAACGTGAGGCTCCATCTCAGAGAAGAAAAGGGGTCTCTTCTTCAAGAATATTCAATAAAATAATGAAATGCAGGTTGTGTGTGTTTTTTAGGCACAGAAACTAAAGGAACAACCTCTTGGGTAGCGAGGAATGAAACATATTCCCAACTTTCTGCCTACATGGAACTGCTACTTATCATTTAGATAATGCCACTGAAGGCTTTATAGATATGTTGCTGTAATTCCAGCAGCCATTCCCAGGGGATTGGGAATTCCACAGCAGAGCAGAAGCTCCCAGGTGGGGTTTTAACCTCTTGCTGCTCCTACATGGATGAGAACCAAAGGGGGTGTTGGTGTTGAAACCTTTTCTTGTGGGGATTGACTCGGATTGGTTTGGGTGCATTTGCCTTATCCAGCTTTCCCGAGGATCCCAGGGAATACAAGCACAGGGAAGCAAACTCCTGGTGCAAAGCCAGACCTTTGCTCCGTGCAGAAGGCAGGACAAAGTCTCCAGAGGGAAAATGCCTCGGGAAATCTCCTCTGTGTCACCATGACAAGGCAAAAGAGCCACACGAGGACTGAGAGCTGCCTGATTGCAACACTCCCCAAGTGACAAAAGAGGTGTAGGAATGTTCAAAAGTGCATGGATTTTATTTATGCAGTGCGTGTGGAAGTTCAGAGGAGCGGGAGTTGGCACAGGAAGGATGATTTTGTCCAGGGCAAGGGAGATATATTCTTGTTTACCACTTGTTTGGATTAAAATCCCAGAAGGGTTTGGGTTGGAAGGGACCTTAGAGCTCAGGGACAGGGGCAGGGACACCTTCCACTATCCCAGGTTGCTCCAAGCCCCATCCAACCTGGCCTTGGACACTTCCAGGGATGGAGCAGCCACAGCTCATCTGGGCAACCTGTGCCAGGGCCTCCCCACCCTCCCAGCCAGGAATTCCTTCCCAATATCCCATCTAACTCTGCCTTCTGGCAGTGGGAGGCCATTCCCTGTGTCCTGCCACTACAGTTCCTGAAGAAGATTCCCTCTGTGGCTTCCTGCAGCCCCTGCAGACACTGGAAAGCCGCTGTGAGTCTTCTCTCTTCTTACCTCAGTACCTGGGTGTGAGCACCAACTTCTGACACGGCCAAACTCGAGTTTAAAACACAGACACGGGGAAGGAACCCCTTTAAAACCAGCCATCCCATATTTCCAAGAGCTCAAGCCCAGGGGAATCCCCCCAGGAGGCCACGTACCTGCTTCAGGGCTGCTCTGGTTACAGCTGCTGCCGATGCTGTTGGGGATCCCCGGGGCCGAGGGTGCCTGGAGTCGCGCCTGAGGTGGGTTCTGGTGCAAGGAGTTTCCTAAAGCCATTCCCGACTGCGGGAGCATCCCGCAGCTCCCGCCGGCCTGCATCTGGCTGATGAGCCCTGCCAGGTGGTTGGTGCTGCCCGGGCTGGCCCCGTGCCCGAAGGCAGGGTTGGGGCCGTGGCAGTGCAGCCCTTCCCCTCGCAGGGGCAGCCCCGGCGCCAGCGGGGCCTGGAGGCCGCCCGAGCTCAGGGCAGGCTCCGGGAAATGCATCTGGTTCCCGGAGCAGGGCAGGGCAGAGCCGGAGCTCCCACAGCCCGTGGAACTATTGCTGCTCACGTGGGAGCTCTGGCAGCTCATGGACTGCAGGAGCTGCGACATGGAGCTGATGGGGAAGGAGCTTTGACTCTGCTTTCTTATCAAATCGGATCCGGCTTTGGAAACCCCAGAACTGTCCAACTGGGACTGTCTCAGCAGGCTCAGCACCGTGGTGGGGGGCTGCTTCCTTTTCCTCAGAGGATCCTTTTGCTGAGACATCAGTTTGTCTCTCAGTGCTGCTCGGCCGCTCTGCCCTTCCGTGGTGGGGAGGAGCACGTTGGCAGCAGGAGGGAACATGGAATTTAAAGTGCTGTGTCCTTCGGAGTTGCCGCCGCCGGCAACAGGTCCAGAGTTGCTACTGCTGCTGTTGTTGGTACCAGCGAGTTTGTTTTGATTTGCTAGCTGTGCTTTGGCTGCTGCTGACAGTAAACTGCTGGCTGGGAAAGAGGCAGCGTTGTGCTGGTTCAAGATCTGGTTTAAAGGCATTCCCAGCAAACCGGGCTGACTCTTCAAGGAACCGCTTCCAGCCGATGCAGCGGGAAAAACTGCATTGTTGGGAGGATTCAGTACATTGCTCATTCCAGCGATTAACGGGTTGGGGATGTCCTTGTACTGGCCGAGCCCATCGTGCTTGGTGGAAGGGCTGGATGGCATGGACGGCCTCGGCGAGCCTATGGTCGACCTCGGGGACCTGGGGGGGACCTTGATGCCGCCGCAGGCCGACTGCGGCCCGACCGGGGGCAGCAGGAAATTCCCGTGATCCGACGACGTGGAGGAAGAGCGCGACCTTTGGGGAGAGGCCTCGATCCTCCCCATCCCGGGGCCCATCATGTGCACCGGGGAGGTCACGGGCGACGGGGACAGGGAGGTGGAGGCGGAGTGCTGGACCCTCTGGCCGTGGGGCGCGTGGTTGGCGTGGGCGGGTTTGACGGTGGGCAGGGGCAGGTTGCTGGGCAGGGGCACGACGGCGGGGGGCATGCTTACATTCATCACGGGTACCTGAGAGTGGGCGCTCGCGTGGAACGGGGACGGGGGCACGATCACGGGGTTCTGGCTCGCCGGCTTGCTGGGAATGGGGTCCAGGATGCCGAGGGGATCCTTCTCGGATGGCAATGGCTTTTTCTGCAGGGCGCACGACGGCGGCGGAGGGGGGGGCGGGGGCGGGCCCTGCGGGGGGGGCTTGTGGTGGAACATGGCCCGCGGGATCTCCATCCCCGCGGGGAAGCTACACAGGGGCTTTTTCATGACGGGGCTTTTCGTGGTCAGGGTGGGGGACAGAGGTATGTTAGTCCTGCCGGCCATGGCGCAGGATGACTGGATGGGGGAGCCGTGCAGCATCACCGACGGCGGCGACAGCGGCGTCCTGCTCACGTGGATGGGGCTGGAGTTGGGAGCTCCGTGGAAACCGGGATTGTTCCTGGTGAAAACGTCGGGGCTCCCCAGCGGGTCAGTCCTGGGAGAGATGGAGCCGTCGCCGTAGATCTGCGACCCCGAGGAAGCCGGGCTGGGCATCCCGCCGTGGCTGCCCCGGTACGGAGACTTCTGTCCCAGCTCACTGCTCCCCAACCTCTGCCTGGGATACACAGGATGGAGCTCTGGCTGCTGGCTCCCGGCCATCTCTTGCACGTACAGCCTCCCCATGGCATTGGATGCCCCAATCATCAGCTTGAAAGGAGTCTTACATTCCGGCATCACGGAATTTGTAATTCCTTCATGCGGTTTATTCCTCGCGGATCTCGGAGTTGCTGCTCGAGTGGGAACTACTGGAGTTGCACCTGGTGTTAAAAACACACAACAGTCACTGTTTGGAAACGCAGCATCACAGGTTTTTCAGTGCAGAACTACAGGGTGTGAAAATATTCCTAAAAGCAAGGAAGCCTTTGGCTAAACTTGGGCTTCCACAGGAATGAAACCCCAGACATTGAGGAGCTGCTGGAACGGCGCCTGTCGCCCTGCACAGATCTTAATTTAAATCCCATATAAATATGGACAACTGGAAATCTTTCTCCTGCCCTTCTGCCTTTTCTAAGCATCACCTCCAGCGTCCCACTCCCGGATTTCCAGCAGCAGCCCTCTGGCAGGAGCAGGGAGCCGCTGTCGCAGGGAAAAGGAGCCTCTGGCACCATCTATTGAGGACAGGAGGAACAAAGCCCAGCCAGGACTGAGACTCACTTCCAGGTGCTGTCCCAAACGCTGTCCCTGATGAGGGATTCTGGATGCTTTAGGGGGTTGTTTTCAGGATAAAAGCCTTGGGGATATTTGCACATGCTGACACAGGAACCCCTCTACGAAAAAATTCCCACTTTTGAGCCCAGGCCTTCCTACAAGCACGAGGCCACTTCCCATCTTTATTTCAAAAGATTTTTTTTTCCCCCAATGTTTTACTTTCAGAATATCCTCACAAGCAGCTCCAAAGTCTGGGGGACTTTCTGCCAGTTGTGCTGCTCTGGGAATTTGCAATTCAGCTCGGAGCGCTTGGCGCGGAGCCCCCGAATGTGCAAACTCCAATTGGGAGCTGCAAATTCCACGCTCAGAGGAGCTCAGAGGTGCCTTGAAATTCTCCTGCTCTCAAGAATCCCATTCCCATCTCTCCTCCAGCCTGGGCAGACTGACATTCCTGCCTTCATCCTGTTTGCACGACCAGCCACATCGCCACAGAAACAAACATTTTACCTGTCCCAAAATACAACCAAAGTGTCAATTTAGGGGACAAAACTCAAGGCTGAACTGCAAAATAAAACGAGTATGAGAGGCCTCACCTTGAATGTTGGAACTAAGCAAATGGTCACATGCAAGGGTGTGAAAATGAAAAGATATTTTGCTTACAAAGGCCATTTATTGGGAAATTTTCTTCTTTGCTTAGGGCACAAAATTCTGACCGACAGAGAAGGGAAAAGCACCTGAACGTCACTCATGTCTTGAACACTCACCTGGTTTCACCTCCTTCATTCTGCTAATTTTTTGAAAACAAGAATGTAATTTAAGTACTACTCATCAAAAAATTAAGGAGGAAAATGTGTAGCACCTTGGGAAATTGCACCGCTAGTTAAAAATGAAATGACATTGCAAAGAAATTTAAACAGAGGTTTGAAATCCTAAATTTCAATGTGAAAATCGGTCCTATGAACAGTGTGGGTTAAACTTCACATTGGTCAGCACCATCCTGCCATCTGATCTTAGGGGTCTTACTCCCCAATATCTGGGTCTTGTTTCTCAATAATTTACAGCTAAAAGTTGTTTTTTCTAGGTGAACAAGCTCAGAATCATCAGGATTTGCTGTTACACCTTTTCTTTCACCCCAGATCTCAGTGATCCCCCCAGTTTTACAACGTGCTTTTGACCTTCTCTTGTTTTGGTAACACCTGTCAACTCCCAGCCACCAACAAATTACCTCTTTTTTTTTTTTATGTTGACATGGATAATTAAAATGCTAATCCAGGTTGGTGCCTAAAAATAATCCTTGAGAAATTACAGTGGAGATCTCCTTTGCTGTATCTTCTCCTTTACAACACAATTTCCCATTTAGCCACGTCCTAATCCCTTCATAATCACTTTATTCTGCTCCTCTAATTTCCCATGTGACAGAATATCAGACATACTGCCACAGTTCCCAAAGATGAGAGTTAATGTATTTTCTTTGTTCTAGAACAATCTGATACCTTTTCCAAGAAAATCATGCTCTTAGGCTGGGAATGACCTGATTTAGACTCATTTTCTGTCTCCCTACATCTCTGATCACTCCATTTATTCCTTAAATCTGTTTATTTTTGCACTCACAGACACATCAGACGTTCGGGGGTGGTTTTGCATAGTAATTACACATACAAAATTAAGATTATTAAGTGATCCTGCAGGATTTAAGTTTTACTCACTTGTTCCACCCCCAGGACTGGTGAGAACCAGGGAAGGATGAGGTGCTTCCATGCTTTTGTGCAGTGTAGCCACAGCAATGATCTTCCTCTTGTGGATGCATAGTTTGGTGACATCTTCATCTGCTTTGACATCTTCAGCAGTTCTCTGCTTCACAGCAGCTCCAGGATCGAAATTAAACACCTGGGAGTGAAAATTCCAGTGTTTAAGCAATGATTATGGGCAGAAAATTCACCAAACACCCCTCGATTTTATGCAGAATATACAGGAATTTTCCTCTGTTCCTCAGAGCTCTTTGACTGCTCCTACATTGACAGCAAGTTTGGAAATGATAAATATATTTATAATAACCGAGTCAGCTCCTTTCCAAGAGGGGAGGAGGCAGAGGGGAGATTAACTTTTGGATTTTCGGGTAGAACTTTGGGTGCACTCTACTTATTTGACATACACATATATGATGTGAACAGAGGTCAAGCCATGGCACAGCACATCAGCTGGCATCATAAATACTCCAGTAAAGACCCAAAATGCTGCTTTGCTTTACCTTGGGAAGAACAAGAGGACATTCTAGGCCACACTTGCACGTTCCATCAGTCAGCAAGTAAGTCTTCACCTGCTCCAAGCAGGATAATAAAGACCCACTGGGACTGTAAAGGAACAGAAATGATCAATAAAAGCTATTTGATAGGTCATGACTTGCACCTGCCAGTCTAAAAACTCACGAGGAGAGATGATATTTACTTTTTTTTTCATATTATTTCTTGCTTTTTGTCAAGAATTGCAACAAGACTTATTAAAAAAACACCAAAAAAACCCCCTCTCAAACATATTTTAAAGGAAATAAAACTGCTGCATCCAGGTCTCTTAGTTGCACAAAGTTTGGTTTCATCCAGCTAAGACTTGGACCCTCCCAGTGGAAGTGAGGAACAGCCCACCCAGGAGCCAGGAGTTGTAAATAGCCCCATTTTCAACGAAAACAACCCAAGTGGAATAGCTTGGATCGGGAAAACAAATTCCAAACAAACCGTGACAAACTTTGGCGCTTAAAAGCCAAGGTGGAAACGCCTCCTCTCGCACAAGAACCAAGTGACATCTAAAGCAACATCTGCAAGTGACATTTCCAGCTCTGCTGACACTTTAAATCAGGGATTTATTTGCCAGACTTGCCCTGGAATAGTTATTTTTGGGAGAAGTGCTCAGGCTGAATCTGTGTAACAGTGACAGTTTTGAGGGTGAGGAAGATGAAAGAGCAAACTAAAAATAGGGCTGAAGTGACAGGTCAGGAAGTCAAACCTTCCCTGTCTGCAATCCTTGGGGAGGAGGGGGAAAACTACTCTTGATTTCAATTTATTTTAATTTCAGCTCTAGACTGGTTAAACCATGATCCCTTTGGACTTTGCCAGCCTGTCCTGAACTATGCTCAGCTCCACACTTGACGATGGAACAGCTTCCCATGGGATTTGCTCTGGACCATCCCATCTGCACCAAAGATCTCCACAGACACTTTCTGGGATGCTTAAAAATTCATGTTAAATATGCTCTGGAGTCAGGACTGGGTAAACCAAAAAAATGCTCCTTTTTCTGGAATATTTCTGGAATAAATCAATCTTAAATAACCCTTTTGTGCAGTTTGCCTGGACACACACGTGACCAGTTCAGGATCAAGGAGATCCTGGAGCCTGGAAAAAACCCCACACTGTGCTCATGATCAGAGGGTGTGAGGGAAGGTCAGTCCAGTGAATCTGTGGGATGTGGGATCCACCATCCCTCCTGCACATACAGCCAGGGTTATTTGTCCACGAGAACCCACCAAATTTTAAAAAGGCCCATTTTTTTTCCTGTTCCGGGGCAGAGCTATAACTGCAAAATCTCTTTTGTGTGCACAGATCTCCTCACGCTTCCTTTGTAAGAATCCATGGAATCACAGAATGGTTTGGGTTGGAAGGGACCTTAAGATCATCCCATTCCACCCCCTGCCATGGGCAGGGACACCTTCCACTAGCCCAGGTTGCTCCAAGCCCTGTCCAACCTGGCCTTGGACACTTCCAGGCCCTACTTTAAGGCAGCAGCACAGTTTTACCAAGCAAAGCCCTGAGAATCAACTCAGTGCTTTTACCAGGTAATAAAAACTAGTTAATTAATGGATTTAATCTTGATTTAATCCAAAGCAAGTGCTGCCAGCTGCCAGCAAAGCCTGTGTGCTTTACAGGGGAGCACAAACACAGGGGCTGTATTCAGCTGGGATCATCTACCCTGGTTAAATCATGTCAGATCTTAATATATCCACTAATTTTCCCTAGGATAGCTGTGGAGTCAATATTGTTTGACCTTTCCTTGTCTCCATAAATGCTGTGCACACTTCAGGGCAGAGCAGGATTCAATCCTTGGAGATCCAGCTGCCCTGGCTGAGCCCTGTGGATGCTCCATGTCAAGCAGGAGATGGGACTATTTGACTTCTACCCTTTAACCACTGAATTAAAGAATAAAAAAATACATGGCAAGAGGGCAGAAATAACACAGTCACTCCCAAGGCTGTAGGAAATGTATGGAACTTCTCAGAGCTGTAGAAAACCAAGTTCAAAAGCAGGTGGGATCACGTAAAAGTACCAAAGCATTCGATGTCCTGGTGTCTGGATATAAAGATTATTGGGGAAAAAAACCCCTCAACCAATCCAGAACTTTTCCTTTCTCATTGATTTTTAACTCAGGCAGAGGCCCAGTAAATTAGAGCTGTAATGAGAAGTGCAAGGGAAGGCGATTTCTCTCCTGCCATGGGTATCACTGACACGGATTTGGTTGGATTCTGCTAATTGGGAACATCAACAAGAAATCCCGGAATGCATCTGATCTTTTATGGTAGTTTAGTGTAAAATTGGAGCAGGCTTTGACTCATTAAAGGGTTTTGTCCTGGTAATACATAAAATGTTGTGAGGGACCGGTTATCTTAATGACAGAATAGTGGAATGAGATTAAGCAAATAACAGGCTGGACCTGTGTGATGTAAACCTGCTCTCCTCACATTTTGTTAAAGCTGACTTTGATCTTTTTTTTCCCAATAACATTTAATTTACAGTCTGTTTGTCTGAACACAATTATTTAATACCAATTTCAACGCATTTCTTCGTGACCGTTCCGGGGTGAAGCAAAAAAAAAACCAAAAAAAACCCAATAAGCTATGAAAATAAACAAATAAAGTACCTAAAACTTCGGATTTAGGCTTATGTTCCTGTTTCTTTTCCTACAGGAGAGATGTGAGGAATCCATAGGAGTAAATCTTGCTGGAGAACAGCAGTGAACAGAGAACTTTCATGGGCTTAACAAAAGTGATGTTTTTTGGAGTTACTGAGTAGCCACAAAAGTTCTACAGGTATTAAGTGGTTACATAAGTTAAATTCCCTTTCAAAAGAATCACAGAATCCTGGAATAATTTGGGATGGAAGGGACCTAAAGATAATCTCATCCCACCCCCTGCCATGGGCAGGGACACCTCCCACCAGCCCAGGTTGCTCCAACCTGGCCTTGGACACTCCCAGGGATCCAGGGGCAGCCACAGCTTCTCTGGGCAACCTGTGCCAGGGCCTCACCACCCTCCCAGCCAAGAATTCCTTCCCAATATCCCAATATCCCACCTCACCCTGCCCTCCTTCAGCTTCAAAAATCCACTCGGAAAACAAGAAGCTTCCCGTGAGGAAAGGAGGGCGAGGAAGGAGCCGAGTCCCTCATTTACTGCCCAGCTGGCAGAGTGAATTAATTTAGTGACAGAACCCCCCGAGCAATGAAAGCAGGAGCCCCTGGGGTGACCTTACCTGATGTAGAGAACTCCACTTTGGTCCACCCGCCGCTGCCACCCCACGGGAACTTGCACTGCTGGTGGCCCTCCGTCCGTGTCCCCTCCGTCACACTCCTTCCCACCATTCATTTTCCCGTTTCTGCTCGTGAGTCTCCAGAGATATCAACAGGAGGGGGATCTCCTTCTCCTACATGTCATCCTGGCCTCCCAGAGCAGGCCCTGCAGCACGGCTGATCCCGAATCGGACAAAGTGCATCGGGAGGCTCCGAGCTCAGTTTGAAACCAAGTCCTTCCCAGTGGCCATTTTGGTTCAACGAGTCACTTTCCCACCACAGTCCACATTAAATATGCAAGGTTTAAACTCCTTATCTATTCATAAGGACGAACTCTAGAGAGGAAAAAAAATTAGTGCTTCCGACTTGGGCAAATCATAATTCGCCAATCCTTTCGTTCCCTGCCAGAAAGGAGGAGGGGGGAAAAGGAGAATTCCTAGTTCCCCAGCATGGCTCCCAGCTCGAGGACTGGCTTAAGAGAACTTGTACTTGGTGAAAGCTCGTCTCATTTTTTTTTTATAAATATGAGTCAGCTCCGATACCTCCAGGTATTACACCCTTTGTATGCCACATTCTTTCTGTTTGCTTTTTATCTTCTGCTCGCTGTCCAAGTTGTCTTCTTGGCTTTCTTTCATGACTCCTTGGCTCCAATAAAACAGCCTGAAAAACAAGGATGTGGGAAAGACGTGAGGCGTTTTCCCCGAGTTTTTCAGCCCAGGGAGGTGTTTACAGCTGCAGCCATTTAAAGAGCTCAAAACCAAGATTTTCAGTGTCAGTGGAACCATTAAAACAAGGCTTTGAGTAAATATAAACCTGCCAGCAAATTCTATTTATACGTGGATGCAACTACATCTTAAAAGCAACGAGAGTGAAGCTGCTATTGCACAGTTAATGTACAGTTTGGGTGAATTAAGGGATGCATCTTTTCACTGAATATTTTCACGTATTCTTCCGTTCAGAACCATCAGCAGATGACTAAATTAATGCCCTTTAAAAATTGTTTATAAACCTGAATGAATTTAATGTGGAGGAAGCTGCTTCCGGGCTCGGTAATATCCATAAAAATGGAAAACCGCTGCATTCGGATTAAATTTAAATAATCATCTTTCCAAAAATTGTGTTGTAAAAAGGGGAAAATGCAGCATCAAGGCACCGATCTCTGAATACCTGGGAAACAATCTGAATGTCTTCAGGAATAATTCCCCCCCCTCTCCATGGTTTAACTCTTCATGGCAGAAGTTCACAATGATGTTATTCCCCCAAAATTCTGTTATTTCCCCAAAACAGCTTTCCAAGGTGACCAGGTGAGACTGAGCTCTCGAGTTTGGGTGGTTTGTTAAGGTGAGACGAACATGGGAGTGTGGGATTGAAACAGTAAATCCATCAGAATAAACAGCAATCCTAAAATTCAAACACAAAAGGTACCGATGACTGTTGGAGTAACAACATTAACAGGTTTTATTTGGGATCCCCTGTCAATTCTGCCTCATTCCTGACACTCCTGTTATGCCAACATGTTAAAACACAGTAAACCTTACAGACCTGACTGATTTTAATAAGAAAAGGGGTTTTTTTTTGAGCTAGAAATGGAACATGGAGACTCAGGATCCCACATTTCTGCAAGAGCACCACATTAAATCTATATTTAACAGGAATAACAACTTCTACCTAAAGGAAGACTGGAGAGGCATAACCACAGTCCTGGGAGTGTTCCCTCAAGTCCCCTAACACAGAACATTCTCTTCAGACGTGCCACTTACAAATGTAAAGCTCCAAACGCTCCGGGGGGAAAGAAAAATCCTTGGAGTATTTCCAAGGATGAGGAGCAGAGAGGAGCAGGTTGGGCAGAGCCCCTGGACTGAAGGGCTGAGATCTGAAGAACACGGGGGGGATTTGGGCAAAGGTTGGACCTGGAGGCCTTTTCCAACCTTAAAGATTCTGGGATTTCAGATTTGCTGTGGGATGAAGCCTTCTGGAATAGCCTGGTGCTGCTCTGCAGGGACCTGCTTCCACTTTCCAGGACTCTGGAGCACTCCAACAGGATGTAATCCTTGGCTGGACAAGACTGGGGAAGAGACCAGGAGACTGAGGAGCTCCTGCCCAGCAAAGCTCCCAGGGAATGTCACAGGGACACCTTGTCAAAACAATCCTCACTCTGGGACACAGGAATAGGATTTGGAAGCTCTTGGCAACAGTTCAGGAATCCTGGTGTTGGATTGGCTTTATCCTGCTTAAGGAGGGAGCAGATGATGTTCCATCCAACCCAAGGCAGAATTTACCTTCCTGCTGAATTTCCTGCAGGTCCCGTGGAAGGCTAAAATAGGGGAATAATTTTCCTGTTACTCTGAATAAGAATTAACCTACTGTGACATGACAACACCAGGAAATACATATTTAAAATCCTGGGAGCACGGAGTGAAGGGAAAGCTGCTCATCTCAGCCCAGCCTTGTGTGGCTCACATTGCTGTTTAGGGCAGTTTCCCTGGATCCACTATGAGCAAATAATATCCAACAACTGCTTTTTTTTTTGCAAGAAATACTTGGAAGAAACCTTGCATTTCTGCTGGGTCTGCAGCGTCCTGTCTCAGTTAACATCTCATTCCACCTCCACCACAACTGATCACATCAAACCTTCTTCAGGGTGTGAAACAGCACAAAAAGGAGTAAAAAAAAGTCCTTAATTGCTTCTTCTGTGGAAAGTATTTAAATGTTTTTATGAAAGAGGGCAGGTTTAGATGAGAGATTAGGGAGAAATTCCTGCCTGGGAGGGTGGGGAGGCCCTGGCACAGGTTGCCCAGAGAAGCTGTGGCTGCCCCTGGATCCCTGGAAGTGTCCAAGGCCAGGTTGGAGCAACCTGGGCTAGTGGAAGGTGTCAGGGAGTTGGAATGGGATGATCCAGAAGGTCCTTTCAACCCAAACCCTTCTGGGATTCTGTGGAAAGTAAGAATTGCTAAAGCGGAATTTATAACATTTATTTGTTCTCAGCTCTTAAATGTTTCGGGTATTAATGGCTAAGGAGCAAATTCCACGTGGATTTCCACAAAGTGCAGGCAGTAAAGCCCCCAGTCCTTACAGTAACCACTGCAGTGGCACAGGGAAGAGGTGCCCATCCGTGTTTTGGTGCAGAAATCCATCCCTAATCCCCAGGGAAAGTTCCCGTGTGTTATTTCATTTAACTCCAGAACACCAGACTACTCAAACCTTTACATTTCTTACTGGTCCAGGAGAGTTACAACCCCACAGGAGGAGAGGGAACGGCCTCAGGCTGTGCCAGGGGAGGGACAGGTTGGACATCAGGAGGAATTTCTCATGGAAAGGGTGGTCAGGCACTGGCAGGGGCTGCCCAGGGAGGTTTGGAGTGCCCACCCTGGAGGTGTCCCAGGAAGGCCTGGCCGTGGCACTCAGTGCTCTGGGCTGGGGGACAAGGGGGGCATCGGGCACAGGGGGGACTCTGATCTTGGAGGGCTTTTCCAACCTCAGTGATCCTGGGATTCTGTGATCCCGTGAATTCCAGGACTGCAGAAAAATCCCATTTCTTGATGCATTGTTTGCCCCTTCCCCATCCGAACACTCCATCTGAAGTGTTCCACACCTTGGATTGGGACAGAAAGGAGCTGGAGCAAATCCAAGGTATTCTGGACACTGGATCCCACCCAAAGGCCTGACTCCCATCAGCCCATGCAATAAATCCCTCTCCTCCACAACCTCCTCACAGCTCCAGACAACTCGTGTTATCTCACCACGAGCAAACACAACTTTCCACATCTAACCCAATTACTCCTTCTCCCCGTGAGCCAGGACATGCCTTTTAGATTTGTTTTGCAATCCGGTTCCATTACAGTATCCTTCGAAATATTTCACTGGAGAACTATGCAAAACTACACCGAATTCTTCCCCCTGGACCCCTTCCCCCCACGGAAAATTTCTCCCCTAATTTTCATATGCTGAAGGTATGTTTTCAATTTTTAATGTGGCTCTCTCACTTTTTTTTTTTCTTTTTTTTTTTTTTGAAATGTTGCATTTTAGGGCCTCTCTGCACGCTCAGCCGGTCGTGTTTGCTTTAACAACTCCTTCAGTCAAGCAGGGAAAGAGAAAACCTGGTGTGAAAATAAAAAAAATAAAGTAGATACTAATTGTCTGGATTCTGATCTATCCCCATATGATATGATTGATATTTATTTTATTAATAAATGGAATTATTGAGACAAATTTTGACAGTCTGATATTGCAAAAATATGGAATCACCATGGAATCCCAGGATGGTTTGGGCTGGAAGGGACCTTAAAGCTCATCCCATTCCACCCCTGCCACGGGCAGGGACACCTTCCACTATCCCACGTTGCCCCAAGCCCTGTCCAACCTTTTGAGTAAAGAATTTATTCCCATTAAAATATAATCTAAATCTCTCTTCTTTCAGTTTAAATCCGTTCCCCCTTGTCCTCCAATCACTTCTGATGCTCCGTTACTTTTTTTTCTCCATGAACTTTTAACGGAGCCCAACAATTCCACAGATCACAAAGGATGCACAAATCCCAGTGGTCACCTATGGAATGACCACATTTTGGGAATAAAGCTCTGCAAACGCTTGGAACACACACCAAACACTGCTTGGAGACACAAATCACACCCTAATTTTCGAGGCTTCCCTTTGTAGCACAGAAAAACCTACAGAATACATTCGGAATGGGAAATGCCCTCCAATCAAACTATTGGGGTTTTAGAACTGATGAGACAAGTTAGCTTCTTAAAAAGCATCATTGTCCCTCCCCTCAGAGTTAAAAAGGAGTTTTTGTTTGGTCATGGCTTGCACATTATTAATCTGTTTAAGTTTATCCAAGCAATCAGCTGGGATTCTCCCGTATCATCTCATCCCATACAAACGTTGCATCACTTTTTGGGAATGCTTTCCCACTCTGAAAAGCAGCTTTCTCCTGACTAATTAGACCAGTGGTGAATATTTGATGAAGGCCTATTTTTAGGAGATGATTCAACAAACAAAAAGTGTAAAGGAAACCTTCCTTCCTTCAATCTTCTCTCATTGTGTTGGTCTCCGGGACCACGACACGGCCGTACATGGGATTTACACGTGATTTTCACATGACAGAATCCAGCTTTTGGGGGGAAAACACATCTTTATCTTACTCCTAAATCCTGATTATTAAGAATACATTGCCAGCACTGAATAACTGCATTAAAATAACACATTTGAAATCACCCCAGTGCCAGACCAGTTCATACCAGTCCGACCTCCTCCGACACCGAGTTATTTCCAACTGAATAAAGGACTTTTATAACCAGGCTTATGTTTTCCTAATTGAGACCACTTTGGATGCTGGGGGATTTTTTTAGGATTGGAAGCCCCCCAGGGTAACCACTCTGTGAAATGATTTCCTGGAATTGCTCAAGACACTCTGGATGTGGCTCAGTGCTCTGGGTGAGTTGACCCAGTGGTGTTTGGTCACAGGTTGGACTTGATGATCTCGAAGGTCTTTTCCAACCTGGATGATCCCATGGGAGCTGTTTGGATAATTCATTCATAAATGGCAAAACCCCTTCAAGATTCCAGGCCACCGTGCCTGTCTCTACATCCACAGCCCGGGAGTTTTCCCAGTATCCCAGTGGACACGCCCCAGCTCCCAGCCTGGCTCACCTGGACCAGGATGGACAGAACCCTCTGGCATTTAAATTCCCAAACATCCAAGATTAGATGGCAAAGCAGCTCCTGCAGACCTACCATTCAGGAATCTACACCATTAAAACAATAAGGAAAAGATTTTCATGGAGAAACACCGATTTATGTCCATGGAATCCAGCTGATACATTATATTAGATTTATATATAATATAAATCCCTTCTCTTGAAGCATTGTGGATCATCGTATTCCTGATTAATTCTGCTGTTAATTAATCAGAAATACATCTGATATCCTTCCTATCGACGTCCAGGGAAAAATCAGAGTTCACTGAGCTGCAAAGTATCCTTAATTTAGGAGATTTAACTGTGCCATGACAGTTGTCCAATGGAACTGGGAAGGAGTAGGATTTTTTTAGCACTTTATTTCCTGTATGTTCAGCACCAAACCCCGAAACTTTCTCTAACTATGACTTTTCACCCCAAACTTTCTCTAAACATGGCTTTTAACACACTCTTCTGTGTAATTCCCAGAGTTGGGAGCAACTGTGGTTGTCACTTGGCAATGAAAGAATGGATTAAATCCCCCCTTTCGAGACCTTCCACGTGCACAAAACACACAGGGCATCTCTGAAAGGGTTTTCACAAAAAGGAAAAAAAGCCCCACATCAATAATAATAAAAAAAAAAGGCAGGAAACAAAAGGATTTTCTTTTTAACCCTCAGCCCCGGCTCTTCAGTAAGAATTTATTAAATGGAAGAATACACAGGAGTTATGATGCTTTTCCAGCCCTTCCACCACATTAATTTTATTCTTTACAAAGGGAAATAGGTCAAAAAACACGAGACAGACCTACTTTGTGTCAACACAGTGACAGCCCCCAGATCTATTAAAAATTAAGACTAATATTTGGTATGTAAGAGAAATAAACTGAGAGTGATGTCACCATTAGCAACACCTTTCTTAGGGAATATTATTATATAGAATATTACTGAGCTAGAAGTCAATAAGAAGTGAGGAAATGTTATTAAATCAACTTTATTTCAGGGGAAATTGTAGAAAGAAAGAAGAACTTGGTGTCCCTCCTCAGCAACCTGGAATCTGATATTATTAAACACAGTCCTAGAATGCTTTTGTAATGAAGATTATATGAATTTCAGGGGTGTTTGATACAGAGTGTTCCTAAAGTATCTAATAAACAGATGCAGGAAATAAAGAGGTAAAACTATTTGTAATTGTTCGGTTTTGCTGGCCATTATTGACTTAGAGGTTACTGGGGCAATGGAAATTCCTGAAAATAAAGATTTTATTTGAAAAGAAAACAGCGTTTAAATGTAACTTTCACAATCTCAACCTGAAAATTCAACCAGATTTTAGAGGAGCAACTAAAAACCAGGAATAAAACGGGATTCCTGGAAATCCTGGCGAAAGGCTCCGGGGCAGAGTTATGGGAATAACCCCAGATCTCCATTAACTGTGCACTGTGAGATCAACAATCAAGCAAGAAAGGGGAAAAATGAAACCCACCCTCCCACATCCTAAAAGCAGAGATCACAATAAACCAAATAACCCTCCTCTGTGTGAGACACCTGACGGTCAGGGCAGAGCAGGAGTGGAATAATTGGAATAATTCAGCCCCAGTTTCTGTGCAGGGGAACGTCAGAACTGTGGCAGGACTGCAAATTAAACCCATAAATTATGCTTTTGTGCCAAAGTAACAATCACATGACCGGGCTATTTTTAGACACAGGGAATTTTTTTTCCCTCCCCAAGTGCTATTTTTTTACACTGTTTACTGAATTACGTAGCTCTGCTCAGCAATTTCCCTAATGAAAATCCACTTAAGGTATTAAAAAAAATATGGTATCAATAAAAACCAGCTCTTCAGACACCTCAGTGCAAAACCTACAGCTTCAGCTGCCATTAATGGAATAATAGTTGAGTTTTTGCTGCCTCTGAACCCTGGGGTGCTACAAATCTGTGTAATATGATGGGTAATTACTTACTAATTGAACGTATTTGGAGAATTTGGCCCCACTATTTTGTTTTATTTGAGAGGCAGTTCTCTACTTTCTAAAAGAGGACTCAGAGATTCAAAGACATTAAAAAAAAAAAAGTGTGTTTTAATCCTTTTAAATGCCAAATAGTCCTTCCTTGCTACACCAGCTCTATTAGTTATAAGTGTAATCATTTTTAAATGGATTTATGAAGATTTGTATACATGACCTTTCCTTCTCCAGCTTCTTCTCCTCCTTCCCCTGCTCTGAGTCAGCTGGTTCATGAATATACCATTTATTTCAAAATATTCTGCCACTAAAACATCACGTTTGCTTTGTTATTTAAGAGCTGTGAAACAAGTAATGCCCATATAAAGTATTTTTCAATGCACTAATTGCCAGCGGGGCACAGGATTCAAATAAAACTCGGAAAAGCCTGACCTTTTTCCTCATCAAGCATCAGATTGAAGGTGGGTCTGTTCATCTTGTTCTTTCCAAGCTGAAAAAGAATCAGTTGAAACAGTTAAAAGAGAAGCAACAGCGAGCAATATATTCCACTTATGATGTTAAGATATTAATTAGTATTTATTATTAAATATAATTTATTTATTAATTAATATTAAATTTTATTCATATTTATAAATACTTCGAGTTTCTTAGATTATTATTTCTCCTTTAAAATATCTCCTTTAAAATTTCTGCTTCCACTTTGTATTTTGTACATATTTAATTTCCTAAAACATCACGGACACGGGGGGAAAAAAAATATAATATTTAGAAAACGCTAATGTTAAGTTCTCTTTTTAAAAAAAAAATATCAGCTTTACTAGAGTTTAATCTGTATTCTGGCAACACAGATGATCAAAATTCTTGACTGTACACACCCCACTAGTTTCAAATCAGATTTTTGTGCTTCACGAGTGTCTGGCTGCCCCATCCCCTTCACTCTGAGATTTAGTTTTAAGCAAAGTCAAGGTGTTTTTAGCCTAAAAAAAAAATAAAAAAGAGCCAAGTGCCCAAATGTTCTCGTCTGTGTATTTTGGGGGTGAATTTTTCCATGACAATTATCAGATGTGCTCACGCCGACACCTCGATAAGGACGGATTTCATCGTCCCATAAAGGGGGAAGGCTCCAGTCTGGCTCCTGGAAAATGATTTTATGATAGAATAATTTATTCTCTATTCAGGGGCAAACATTCTTTGGATGTGTTTTGCCCCCCAAACACGATGTATTTATGTTTAGGCTCCAGTCTGGCTCCTGGAAAATGATTTTATGATAGAATAATTTATTCTCTATTCAGGGGCAAACATTCTTTGGATGTGTTTTGCCCCCCAAACACGATGTATTTATGTTTAAAGCAGAGCAAGGCGGGACGTGGGGAGGACCCTCAGCTCTGTGTCCCTGGCTTAGCTCACCTGACCTGCTGTAAAACCCGGTTTCAGTGCACGTGAAATAGGCTGAAAATGCACTAAACCAGACAAAAAAAGGCTTGATTCTCTTCAGAAGGAAGGAAACAAAAGGGTGAATCATATTCAAGCTCGACAAGCACAAGAGAATTCCACCAGCTCATCAAAGCAGGGAAGAGAAAAATGAGAGTAAGGCCCACAGGCACCCAGAAATTAAAACCATGTGGGCCTTCAAGGGTTCAGCACATCCAAGAGTTCAAGAACAAAGCTCCAAAGAAGATAAGAACCTTGAAAATGCACTTTTTCATCCCAATCTAAGGGCTGGATTGTGCCAGATCCTGATTACAGCTCCACCGGTCCTTTATTCTCCGAGTAGGCCCCAAAAATGGCTCTGGAAATTCAGGCCTGACACAGAGAGTGAGAATTTTCTGGTCCCTGCTCCAAAAAGAAGTGAGTTATTGGGGAAGAACGTGGGCAAAGAAGCGCTTAGTCACCTCTTCATCACAACGTATTTAACACTTGATCAAAAGAAATGAACCCAGTAACAAAGATTTACCCTGTCACAAAAAAACCACCAAACATAAACAAAGCCGTCGGTGCCATAAATGCCGTAAAATCCTGGCAAGAAAATCTGGGAAATCAGAATTCCAGACACATACAGAGGGAAAACAGGCCTCATTTTGTTCTGCAGGTGTTAATTTCTTTATGTTATACTTCACCTGAATTCAAGGAAACCTGTGGCAAACTTCCAGAAATGTTGCTCGACCCGGATTTCACTCCCATTTCAAATCGGAGCCTTTTTCAAAGCATTTTATTTCAGATTAAAAAAGGTCCTTTGGTTCATTTTTACCGCAGTATACTCATTTTTACTCCTCTTACTGATTTTACTCATTTTCAACTGAAGTGTATTGTCAGGAACAGGAAAAGTTCGCAGGGAAAACAAGGGAAAGTTAATCCCAAAATTTAGGCTGACAGAATCAGAGAAACTGAGGGTGCGAAGAGGGATCTCGGGAGAGCAAAATGGCCACTGGGGAAGGCCAAAACTACAGAAATTGTCTGAAATCTCCCTTTTTATGCATTTTTAAAAGTTCCCTAAGAAAAATACCCCGGTTTTTCATCTACATTTCCAGTCAGATACGAGGCAAACCAAAACAAAATGCGGTCTGTTTTTTTCCCCTCATCTATCCCAAATTACCCTTTGTGCAAAATTAACTTGGTTTTTAATATTTTTTTTTAAATCTACAGAGCAACCCCCACTGTTGCTTTGATAAAAACCTCTTATCTCTTTTTTTTCTGCCCATCCTACAGTGTTCCTTTTTCTCCTACAATAAATAAAATAAACAAACCCAATCCTTTCAGCTGTTCTTTTATCAGTCCTGCTTTTCTCCCCTTTGGCTTCTTCTGGCTAACACCAGTTTTAATAAAATTGGTTTGTTTTAAATTTTAATAATAGAGAAACATTTTTAAGCAGTATTTTGATAATAAATATTTAAATAGTATTTTGATAATAAATATTTTAAAATATTATTTCAAATAATAAATAAATAATGATAAAGAATTCCTTTGCTTATACACTCAACAATTCCCTTATCTCATAATCCAGGTTTTCTACTGACAGATGTCTTAGGACCTGTCAACATCACAGATTCACCAAATTCAATTAAAACATGAAAATAAAACCTTCCTTGGAGTGCCATCGAATCTGATACTTGCTTTCAAGAGTTAAAAATATTCAGTATTAAAAACATTTAGTAAATATTTCTAAATGCAGCCTCAATTTCAGGTTCCACTGGTAAAATTTCTAAATGCAAAGTTTAAAAAAAAGAAAAAAAATCAAAATATCTTTCCTATTTTCATAAACTTCCCCCAAAGAAGACTGATCTGTGTTGGCTGGAAGGGACAGATCTCTAAAAAAAAAAATTCAAAATGAGTTGTGAACATCCAGTATTCTGTGGGAATATTGTACTTATTGGTTCCAAGGTGATCAGGCAGGTAAAATTATGGATTTTCTCCGAAGAAGAAATGAATAAGGTAAGAATGAAAACGTACCAATGTGTTTTAAAAACCTTATTTTGAGGCAGCAAACACAGCACAGACCCTGCACCGACTCACTGAGCTGCCCCAACAGCCCGTTGTAGATGGCCATAATTTTATTTAAAAATTAAACCCACACACATTCCTTCAACTGGGGCACTTCAGATCAGGGATCTCTTCAGTCTTTTCTGGAGGGATTTAAAAAAGCTTTGGAGAAATCTCCAAGCTATGGAATTAGCCTGGTATTTATAGCTCTGCTTCCCGTGTTCTTTGAGCTTCCCAGGCCCTTCTTTCTCCCCATCTGCTGGTTGTTGACGTGGCCCTAACCTTGCATTTTGAGGATGAAAATCTACAAGAATAAGAGCATTTCATTTGATATCGTGGAATTCTGGCTGGATCCCAGGGCAAGGCAGCTCCACTTTGCTGCTACAACACAATCCAGGGCAGGAGTGGTGCTGCATATTTTCCAGCATGGATAACTGGAGCTCTGTTGTCCAATCATGGCAAAATATATTGCTCCCAAATATGACTAATACTCCATGTGACACAAAACTGGGAATTTTCTCACCTTTCAAATGCTGTTCTTCAGATGCCGGTTCCGCACAATCATTTAAATCTTTTTTCTCTGTTCTCTTATCAAAACTCCACCTATGGGTGCACTGTCCATCCTCTACAAAGGTATAAATGGCTAAATTGTTCCTTTCTCTACTTGAGCACCATCAAATGTTGAAGGTGCCTGTTCTTCTCTTTAATTTTTGTTAATATTGTTAATTGGAACTTCGCTGCCACAGCGTAAAACCACCAAAACCAAAACCCAGAAGTTTCTCAGCTCGATAAATGCAGAGATTTACTTTGGAATACTCACCTACATTGCTTCTCATGGTCTTGCTTGGGGTTATCTTGGGGATCTTTAGGCTCCTTAAAACTCTTGGTGCACTTTGAGCTTGGCTTTAGACAGTCTCCTGTTGTGCTCTCGACAGTGGCCTATGTCCATCGAGGTGGCTCCTGGGCTTCCCCCACCCCTCATCTGAGGAATTCCTGCTCCCTGTGTTACATCTGGGGAGATAATCACAGTGTTTCAATTAAAAAACAATGAGCCAAATGTCTTTATTTCACTTTTCTTGGTCACTTTGTGAGTCCCAGTGCAACTACTTGATATAAACCATAAGAACATTTGATTTTCAAGGGTAGGACGGCTCTGATTGGAACTGAGCAGAAACAAAGATGCCTTTTATTACTTGATGGTGTTTCACTGGCCAGAAGAGTGAGGAAATTCCTATAAAAATGAGTGTATGGATCCTTAGTAGGCAAAGTAAAAGGTCATGTCTTCAGCCACCTCAGGTAGTGCTAATCCACACTGAAAATCTCCCACTAAGGAGGAAAAAGTTGGGTTTTAAAGAGTTATGACTGATGTGTTGGAATGTCTCTGACACCAAGAGGAGTCAACAGTCCTTTAAATCAATTAATTAGACTCTTTTAGGGGTGACATGGATTTGGAACTCATCGGGTTAAAGGCACATCCAAAGAACTAAGGGGTTAAAACCTCGGATCTGAGAGTCTGAGGACTCAGCCAAATTCAGAATTATTGGGGATTTCACAGCTTTTACAAAAGAAATCTTCAATTAAAACAGCTGCAGCATCCCTGGGTTTCGAATCCTACGGACAACGTAATGAATTTGTTGTGATTTTCGTATTTGGAGCCTCTTCAAAAGCCATTTGTCACCACAATAAAGCTCTTGGTTGTTGTTAAATCCTCCTCCTGTCACAGGAAACCCATTGATACAAAAATAGGAATAAAAAATTTCAGATAAGCCACACAAACAGGGTGTGAGCACACAAGTCACAGGGTTTACCTGCTCTTTATACTGAATACTATGTACATTCAGTCCAGAGATATTATCATGTAACATATAGATATTCCTGAATTATTTCACAATGTGACCATTGTTATATAATAATATCATTCAAAACATGACCATTATGATATATTATATAGGTATTACTGAATTATTTCAAAATATGACCATCATCATATCATGGTATTATTATATAATAACAGATTTCAAAACATGACCATTCTAACACATAGATATTATTGAATTATTTCAAAACATATAATTATAGATAAATAAGAATTCATGGCTTCACAATGTAGCTTATCTTTATGGTAAGAAATCAAATAGAAAGGTGGGATAATCCCCCACTAAAGAATTTGCATAAAAAGATATTTTAGATCATAATTTCCCTATGGATAAAACAATCTTCATCTCAAATTCTTTATTAATGTTTCAACACATTGAAAGGTATTGATAAGAGGCATTTTTATGAAGGGTTCCCCTGGAGCATGTAATGCTGATCACAGCAAACACTGCAAAACTAATTTACTGGAAACAATTCCAATAGATGGATGAAACAGCCCAAGAATAAAACCTTAGTCAGAGCAGGGCTTAAAAAAAAAACTGGGTCACATGGACAGTGCAAGGACTGGAGCAGCATCAGGGAAAGAAGCTTCTGTTAAAGGCCTCAAGAAATCTACAGGAAAGCATTAAAAAAATTAATTTACATAAATAACCTGATTTCTCACCTTATCAAAATTAAACAGTGTCAATAAAATAATGGCTGTTATTTATTTATTTATTTGTCTGTACTGATGATATAAAAATGGACTTAAGGACTATAATACTTTTATTTTTTGATTGAACACACATCCATAACATTAAACTTCCCAGAGTCCTCCAAAGCTGCAGGAATCTCACGGTGACTGTATTTTTGGGGAAGAAACATCTGTTTTTTCCAGAGCCCTTTGCTGTGAGGTTCCCTTTGCGAGCTTTCTATTTACATAACGAGGCTGTGCCAACAGATTAAAAAAATCCTGTGCCCCTCTAATCTCTGCAGACACAATATTCTTACAACTCTGGTATTATTTGGTGCATCTAAAATGAAAGATACTGAAGAAAAATAAAGGAAAAATAAACAAAACCGTGAGAGAAACAAACTCAACTTTTCAACTGTGAGCTGTCACAGATGAGTGTAAGGAGGGGATGGCAACCTCTTCACTTCAGGGGGGTTTAAAATGCATTTCTTCTGAACCAATCAACTTGATTATTGGCTGGTTCTCAGGTTATTTTTCCCATTTACCCCGTGGCATCAATGAAAAACATCCCTCCAAAGCAGGTAATTCCAACCATAGCCAAGGGCTCCATGCTGGGAAATATCAGCAAAGGCTTGGACACCAGTTTAGGAGCATCCAAGTCTGATTTTTATTTTCAATAATTGTTTTGTTAAGTGTCAAACTCACACAAAATTACATTCAGTCATTGCACTGTGTTTCATAGTCCTAAAAATAAATATATTATCTTCCATTTCTAGTGGTGGCACTACAATACCAGGGGATAAACAAGCCCATCAAACACTTCTGACACATCAAAGAAAATAGAAAAAAATCATGTTAAAATTTGAAATCACTGTGTTTATTACCTAAATGTGTGACAAGGAGAGAAATCCCAGGAGGGTATGAGTGGGAAGGGACATTAAAACCCATCCAGTCCCACCCCCTGCCATGGGGCAGCGACACCTTCCACTAGCCCAGGTTGCTCCAACCTGGCCTTGGACACTTCCAGGGATGGGGAATGCTCACCTTCTCTGGGCCACCAGCAGGAGAGGCAAAGAGAGAACTCACCTACCTCCAAGCAGGAAGACTGGTGGCTGGAATCCACCAGGATCTGGTGGGGCTCTGGACTTTTGGGAAGAATTGGGAGAAGTGCTGTTTCTTCAAGTGTTTGTGTTTCTTTGCCCGTTTTGTTGCGATAAAGCCTCTTCTTCCTGCAAGGAAACACATCCTGGACTGAAAGGGCTGCAGAAAGGCAAATCATCCTGAAGTTCCTGCTGGAAGGATCCCTTTTTTTCATTGACCAGGAACACAGGATCAGGAGAATTCCCTACAGTCCAAGGCAGGGTCCAGGCCTGGCCTTATCCTCCTCTGCTTTACATTTGTACAGGATTTAAGGCTGTAGGAACAGAGCCTACACAGCTGGAGAAGGGATCACAGGGCTTTTAAAGGAGATATTCCTGAGATGAGCCACCAGAAAACTTCAGGAAACTGAAATGGTACAAAAGATGCCCGGTTTTGCTTATTTATATCTGATTTATATCCACACTTCCTCTCTTTATATACACTCACACATATACACATATATACATAAATTAACATAAAAAGAAGTAATAAAATTAACATTAAAAAAATTAACATTAAAACCCCCACTGAAAGTAGATTATAGACTTGCAGACTTTCTTTTCCCAAAATGCCTTGTAGATTTTCTCCCAAAACAAACACAGCTCCGAGGAATTCTGTGACTTGAACATGTGATGGTGAGTCATGAGCTCGGCCTAAGCAGAGCCTTGTGTTTAATTTTATTCTTAGAACCAGCATTAAGAGTGGGGGGAAATATCTGTGCAGGATTAAGCTTGGACCAACTACAGGGCTCGCAGGATTTTCAGGTTTCCCCAAGGCAGAGCTGGAACCTCAACCAATCTAGGCCTGGCTTAAACCAGGGCTCTGTTGGCTCCTCAAAGCTTGAACACTGTGGGGACACCAGGTTTTTTTCCTCACCCCTTCATTTCCCTGGAATGTGAGGAGGAAATCCCCAAGGTGGAGCCCCTTCCTCGTGTCAGAGGGCACAACTCGGCCCCTGCTCCAAGGCTGCTCCCTCTGCTCCCAAGTGGATCAGCCAAGGGAGCCGATTTGGGTATTTCTGCTGGATTAGTCTTAACCCAGCTCACTTCCCTAATCCTGGGGCTGCAGGAATGCCTGGGCTGGGCTGGGAAGGAGTGGCACGGGGGCAGGAATGAGGAACTCCGAGGGGAAAGTGCAGCGGTGAGTTTGGCTCAGGCCACTTGGAGCAATCCAAGGATTTGCTCCTTTATTTCAGAGTCCTGGAAACGCTCTTCCCATCTCCTGTTTTCATAGCAGGGCCTCGGGATATTCATTGTTGAGACAGAATTTATATTTCTCTGCCGGTATATTCAAACTTTAGGATCCCAGTTCTAAACTTCAACTGCTCCAATGCCAAAGAGCAGGAGGAATGTTTGGAATACTTGAGTGAAGTCACCACAAAGCTCTTGGAAACAACGCTCTGGCCTCCTCACTGATTAGAATTCCCATCTATTATCCCAATATTTGCTAGACACGGGGTCTGGAGAAAATGAAGTTAAAGCAGAACAGATGGCAGAAGAAAAGAGAAGCGACTCTCCTGCCTTCCCAGGCTACCTTTGCAGGAACATATGGCCTTTGCCTGGGCTTTTGTGGGACAACAAGTTGGCCAGATGAGCACGACTTCAAAAGTGAATTATGACCCCCTGACAACACGAGGTGCCAAGTGGAAAACACAAAAGCTGAAAGCAATACAATTAAAACAGGCAGGTTTTGCAGAGAAATTAATTCAAAAATTAGATCTAAGGCTTAATTACTATCACATTTTTAATTTTTAATTACGTGATATATTATTACAAGTCTAACATACTGATAGATATATATATAAGCCTAACATACTAACTTGCTTCCTTATGTGTGTGATATATATATATAAATCTAATACTTGATGCTATGGGAAGGCCCTGCCTGCTTTTTGCACTTTAAACAACAATATATTCTCTGTATCCTTCATATCCTGATGAACTTAATACTCGAGATTTAAAGCCTGCAAACTGAAGGTCTCTTCAACAATCACACATCCTGATTTATTTTGGTTTAGAATTAAGAATGAATGAATAATTTAGAAATTTTAGCCCCTTGCTGTGTTTCCCTGGGCTCCTTTGCCCACCTGTTTTCCCAGCAATGCCTCACAAGAATGGAATCAACTTTTCTCCTTAAATTTAATACAGAGATAACTGGGAAACTGCTGAGAATTGAGATGATGAACAAAGAATTTCAGGTCTGTATGACACCTCTCTGTGTTGTTGTCTCTCCATGCATAACTATTCCAAAAGTGGAATGAGGAATGAGGAGAGGACAATGTTAATACAGCCCTTTCTAGATTTCTCTGGTTAACACAAAGCCTCATCATACAAAATATAAATATCCCCCCAAAAAGTGAAGACATTTGGTAAAATAACCCAAAGAGGAGACAGAAAGAATCATCTCCCCACCCCAGGGTCCATCTCTCCTCCAGCTGCTCCCACACTGTGCTCAGACACCTCTTTATAGCCAAGAGCCACCTCAGCCCACCAGAAAACCTTCATTTCTGTATCCTGACTCAGATTATTTCATACAAATATGTTTCAGATTATTTCACATAAATATATTCCAGATTATCTTATACAAACATAGCTGTGTTGACCCCAGGATCACAATTTTTTCCAGTCCTGTAAACAACTCTGCAAACACTTGAATAAATAGAAACCAGCACCAGAAGAAAAGGATACCTGGACTTCCAGTTGAATCCCTTATCCCAAAGCCCCAAACTCATGAGGAAAGAGGACATTTAATGCAGCAAGCACGCCAACAGTTTATATTTTTGCCTTGTGACACTTTATCATCACATAATAAAGTGTCTACTTTGAGACACGACATTATGCCATTGTTTAAACTTCAATCCTCCCCAAAGAAAATAACATAAACTTCTCCAAACTGTGGTGCTTCTTGGCACAAAATCTCCATCACTGGCAAATCTTGATTATTTTAAACTCTCTTCTCAGTGACCAGCACCCAGCACAGACCTTTTGCATCCAAATCGTGGAAGAGAAATTATCCTGCCTGGAACTGGAAAGGTTGAGCAAATTGAAAATAAATTTCCACGGAGGAGGAATTTCACCCCAGTTCCCAGCACCTCCTTCACCAGTGAGGAATATTCCCTCCAAGTAGTTCTTTCAAAGTGATGCTGCTACTAATTAATCCAACTAATTGTCCAATTCATTGATAGAAGTATCAGGATGGTGTTTTAACAATCCCCTGGCACAGGACTCCCGAATCAGAATTTCTGGAATTCTAATTCTATTCTTGCTAAGGTTAATAGATGGTTTCCCACTGAGTTTAATATAATTCACATTGGATCACTCCTGAGTCTATATTTATATAAAATGCCCTACTATTCGAATCTGTTTGATCATTTCAAAATGATCCACCTTATTTATTCATAGATAGAGATCAAAATTCTAAAAAAAATTAGCCCAGGATTGAAGGAGTTTTCAGAAAGCTTCCATGGATTTTACGTTCTTACAAAAAGGTTTCATGTTTTTATAAAAGTCTGTTTTTCAGGTGTTTCCAAGTACCATGGGACTAAATACTCAAACATTCCTCTGATTTTTAGGAATAGGTATCACCTGCTGCAACAGCACTGAGGCCTAACAGAAATATTAACTATTATTTATGACAAATGTACCGAATGTCATTGGGGAAAAAAGTGCCCATCCTCTTAAAAAGTCAATAAAACTCACTTTGTTTCATGGTTTTCTGAGTCTGTGAAAAGTCCAGAGATGAGAAAAACGCTGCAGATAATATTTACTTAATGTATAACCAAATCCAAGCCCTCCTGATGCCTTAAGGAATTCCCAGATTTGGGAGCTCCATGGTGCCCTCGGGCAGTTATCGATCCCCACCTCGTGTGTTGTTCTGGCCACGCTGATCATAAAAATAACTAATTTTGCTGCAGAATTGGGCAGAGATGATTATTTTTTTTCCCCCTGAAATCCTAATTTCAAGATGCAATTCCTGCAGATTGTCCCTGGCATTTGGCTAAAGCACATATCCTCTCGCCTGGCTCCTCTTCCCCCGCTCTGTAGGGAATCTGGCTCCTGGACTCTCTCACCAACAACTCCTGCTCCTCCATCTTTTCCTCTCCTCCCCACCACTTTTCCTCTTGGATCTAATTCCCCAAGCAGGGAACCTGCACTTTGCACAGTCCTGGGACTCTTCCTCGCCCACATCTCACCTGACACCGCCTGAGCTCACTCTCCTGCTCCTCATCCCTTGGATATGACTCTTAATTTCTTCAGGATCTCCCTGTGGGGTCTCATGAGGGGCAAACTTGTCCCAGTGTAGTCCCTCAGCCCGGGTGTGAAAGTATTTATAGTTATACAAGACTTTTTCAGTTAAAAAATCTAAAAACAGACAAAACCTGAGCTGGTAGTTTGGGCCTGGAAAGCCAGGATGAGGAAAGTTCTCCAAGGCCACATCTATTCCCTGCTTCTTTCCAGGCTGGCACTGAGGAGCCCCTCCCTGGAGGGAAGATTTCAGCCCTCATGAATCTCATGAGAGAGATTTCCAAGGAAATGATCAGCAATCCATGAGGGGCTGGAGTGTGGCCAGGGAAGGGAACGGAGCTGGGAAGGGGCTGGAGCAGCAGGAGGGGCTGAGGGAGCTGGGGGGGCTCAGCCTGGAGAAAAGGAGGCTCAGGGGGGACCTTCTGGCTCTGCAACCCCCTGACAGGAGGGGGGAGCCGGGGGGGGTCGGGCTCTGCTGCCAGGGAACAAGGGACAGGAGGAGAGGGAACGGCCTCAGGCTGTGCCAGGGGAGGGTCAGGTTGGATATGAGGGAAAATTCCTTTATGGAAAAGGTTATCAAGCCTTGGAATGGGCTGTTCAGGGCAGTGGTGGAGTCCCCATCCCTGGAGGTGCTCAGAAAACGTGTGGATGTGTCACTTGGGGACAGGGTGCAGTGGTGGCCTTGGGTTGATGGTTGGACCTGAGGATCTGGGAGGTCTTTTCCAACACAAAAAGTCAGAGCTGCCCTTGCCTGGCAAAGTGTGAGCCGGACAAACTGCAAAGGGAAATCCCAAGGAAAAGCATCATGGTGTTAAAAACTTCTAATTTTGAGAAAACCTTCTCAC